ACACAAAGGGACGCATGCCGCCAACAAATAGTACTATGTCCATGTAGATACCAGAGGCTTGGTTTGCCCCATCAGACTCGTGTACTCTCAATGGACTAGGACCCAAGTACATTCTTCATACACCGAGTTGAACCCTTCACCTTACACAAAGGGCGCGTCTAACGGTGTCATTTACCCATTTCATGCCCGCTATCGTGTTACCATCTGGTACTATACCACATCATTTGCCAGCCGTCCTTTCGCACACGGGCATCTCTTTCTGACTATGGCCTGAGATGGCAATACGATCCCACTCCTGTTATCAGAGAGTTGAGCCCGACCCTGAAATGATTCGTCGTTTCGGGTAGGCAGAGGTTATGCACTCGGACCTAGTAGGTAATGACTATTAGCTGGCCTTTCCTCTGGTTATGATGGAAGTCTACTCAGGAACAACCGCGAGTGAAGATGAACCTCGTAGGTGACTGTCGCCACCAGTGACAATGTTATTGTCTTCCCTGATGCTTCCATCTTGGGCGACTGTCTCACTCTGACACGGGTCCCCCGTGCGTGGCAGGAAAGGGACCGAGAAGTGGGGGAAGGGATGAGAAGAAGCATACATTGGCCCTCCCGCCATGGACCCTTTGGTTCTCCTATTTCACAGTAGTATAGTATGTCAGTCACCTGCCCTCCCTCACAATGAGTCTCCGAAGAAAACGAATGTCGAGGGTGCGATATCTGGGATGCTAATATTGCCTGTAAGCTGTTCCCTGGCAAGGCCAGTCAATCTGAGCCTTATTCCATGACCCTTCCAATGAGCTTCTCCTCCCATCTTGCTCTTTCTCCCAATGCCGACGCAGTACCTCATCTCCAAAGGCCGAGGGTTGGCTGCCTACTAGTAGCCGTGTGGGTAGTAACACGAAAGGAACGTTGGAACACGGAGCAGTGAGGGAGCGAGACGGCAAGGCAAGTCTCGACTCTTTAACATTGCATTATGAATGTGTGTTACTCAAGCGGGTCCGTGTCACCGGTTCAATGCTCGTCTGCCTGTCCCTCGCTCTCGCTGTGTTCAGATGAGAGGTGGCTGGTTGAGCGGGCAAGCAATGGGCGTGCGCTTCTGGCATTTTGGGTGCGCTTCTGTAGGGGCTTTGAGAGGATATTATGCTTGCTAGTGCTAGGACTCCATGAACGCCTTACTATTATTTACCGGAAATGTCTGTTTCGACTACATGTACTATCCCGTATGAAGCATGGCAAGGGATCTGTCGTCGGGGTTGAGAGCTGGCAGCATTACCGACAGGTCAGGCCAAATCTAGACTGGGCTACAGAATACATCACGTCTGTGCTTCATACAACCCGTGGGGATATACGAGTCGACACTGCAGACACTTTGGAGCATCTGCATGTAGGTGACAGGAGGTGACAATTCGATGCCTCGAGACCAAGAGTCCATATATGGGTACTCCTAGATCGAGACCGGCTTCGAGTTCCGCTACCCTACAATTACTCAAACTTTGGGCAAACAATGAGATTTTGGCATGTCATGTCTTTTCACGATCTCTGTGGCCATGCCAGACTCTACTGCTACTCTCACAGATAGAGAATGCACCCGCCTACAGGCTACATACAACCCACACGTAGAGAGGAGACATAGCTAGAATTGTATCAAACACATGCAAGATCACGGCTGAGCTGCCGAAACAAGCCGACGATCTCTAGATTTCTTCCCATGTTTGTCTTCCGCCTCCGAGTTTGACAAGACGGCAACGTCATCTACCACCTCTCACACCGCATGGCTGCAACTCACATGTTGGGAGAAACCTGCAAAGGCCTTCATGTCAATACATAGGCCAGTTTGTCCCCAAATGTCCTGGTACATGCCTCCATCGCATGCATGAATGGGCCGGTGTTATACGATGAGCTGCATACGAGATACTAGTAGTAGTAGTAGTAGTAGTCATCCTCAGAGTGGGCTCCAACTTACAACTCCGATGCAAGACGCGAAGCATATGGGCGATCTTACTTGCCGCAGCTGCGTGAGATCCACGCTGTCATCACACCACCAGCATATCGGGCAGCAAAAGGCGGCCTTGTTCGGTATGCCACCGGGAGGCACCTGTGGGCCAATATGCATAAGCGAAAAAGGGCCTTCTCCGGCTTGAATGCAGGACTACCCGATCGGTGGAGAGCCCGGCGAGAGGAGTTACTAAGGGACAGGAGATACGGGGCCGGGAGCAAACGGGTTGCCTTGCCTTTTCGAAGAGGGCGAAGGAGTTTCTACCTTTAGTAGCACTGGGTACTAATAGGACAAAGGGGAAGAATTGTTTGATGGCCGTGGAATCAGGATGGAAGTACTTGTTCGACAACTTTGTAGGGTGAGGTGTTAAAAGTAGTCGTTTGGTGAGCCTTGTTGCAGATTCAAAGCTCGTCGGATCAGATAGTGAAGCTTCACAAGTAGCAAACATTTGCGGCTCAGACGTCCGAGCCGGTTCCACGTCGTCCACGCGAACCATTTGATGCATACAAGCAGTAGCAGTACTAGTACATAGCAAGGTATTGTGCGGTCCCTCCCCAAAAGCTGGCCCGAAATAGAAACAGAGGCAAATTAGTAGGGATGGTATCGACAAAGTTCGGAGAAAGGGCCCGTGGGGAGCGAACGGGACCGCAAGAACTTGCAAGGGTTCTCTATCCTTTTTGCTTTTTTGCAGGAAGCGGGAGAGTCGAGCTTGAGCATGCGATGACATGGGTGCGATGGCATGAAGTGGCGAGGGGGGTTGCAAGTGAGCAGAAGAGGATGCTGGGAACGGCTCGCTTGAAGACAGCAGCTGAAGGACCAGATGATGAGTGCTGCTACCCTGTGGTGGTGACGATGATGCCATGATTAGCTGGGATGCTGAGATTTGCCGGGGAATACCTGTATGTGTGTAGAGCTTTTGCGATGATTTTCCATATTGGAGGCGGTTTGTACATGTACCCATGGGCATCTGACGCTTCTGCGGTGGTATGGGAAGAGGAGGTGAGAACTTTTGATGCGGGCGTAACAGCTCAAGAGAAAGGTGCAACTGAAAAAGAATAGCAATCAAACTGTGTGTGCTTCGTAACATCATCACCAACTTCCAGGTTAGCAAGCCACCGCGAGAGTAGTACCTTATATGTGACCATCCTTGAACCGCATTCTGTAGGCCTTCTGTGACGGACACGTGAGCCGTCAAAATAAATTGCCAGGGTCCAACCGCAGCACACCACTCGAAGCTGGTTCGTGTTCTCGACCGCCGCTCTGGAGAGATCCGAGACACGACACTTTGACATTCTGGAGGCGTTGGAGACGCGCGCGACACAAGGGCGGCCACTGCATGCTGCGGGTTATTTCGAAACGGCTGTTTCAATGCCAACGTACAGGACAAGAGGGGGAGCCGTGAACATGACTTGGCTGCGTTGAGATTGCGGTCTGGTGTGTGGACGGATGGTCTGGTGCTTGTCTGTCCCATCATGGCTATCTGCCCGTTAGCCGAGCTGTGCCTTGTCGTGTTAGTGGACTTGATTGCAAACAAACATGACACGGGCGTGCGAGGACCAATTTGATGGCTGGGCTGTCATACAAGGGCACACATTGATGGTCATGGCTTTACTTAACTTGCACTGGTTCGTGGCGTTTGCACAAATAGTCAGTGGCATTGCCACCGCAGTATCGAAAAGCTTTGAATCAATATTTCTTCTCTTTCCTTCTCCCTCTCTTCTTCCTCGCTTCCGCCCGTTTGTTGTTGTTGTTCCGCATGAGCCGTGATGTGCTGCCAAGGGCGATGGTACCTGAGATGGGCGCCACAAAACCCGCGCCCGCCGTCCAATGGCTTGCCGCGAGAGGCTTCGGGAGGCCCACCGACTTCGAGGTCGAGGCCCGAAAGGGCTTAGCCTCGCCGACGCCTGTCCAGGGCTGCTCAACGGCCCAGAGGCGCTATAAATGGCCTGCAGGGCTGCCCGGCGCCTGATTGGCCGCCCGCCCGCTAAGCGTCAGGGGCACGACGGGTCCATGGCCCAATCCGCCCTGTAGGTAATTTCCCACAGGCGACACCCCGCTCGGCTCGACCACTTAGGGGACTGCAGGGCCGCTGTCCTGCATGCTGTAGCGCCTCCACGGCCCTGTGCCGCCCTGTACCGCCCTCTGCCAGCGCCTGGGAGAGAGTCTTCTCAACCTCTCCCCCCCCCCGTCTGCGGCTTGCCCTGATCTTCTTCTCGTCCTGCTTCAACCATCGTCGCTGGCCAGCCAAAGAAACTGAAATCTCTTTTGCCAGGACAAGCAGAGAGGCGTCTAGACGTTCATTGTCCCTCTCTTCTTGCCTTGTAACCTTCCATTCTTTTTTCTCTCTTCGTCCGAAGACTCTCCTTTTGGATCGCACAGGCTTTCATTCTTTTAGCTGTGCATCCGTCCGGTCCTTTCTCATTGCCTACCTTATCACGCGTTCTTCACCCACTCCTTTTACTGTTCCAGACAGACAGACGACGACTACGATATACTACATTCCTTCTTTCTTCGATTCTGTTTCGCCCAGCGGCCTCAGCTTTTCCCCGGCTAGTATCCCGCTGACCACCTGCGAAGGGGGAAGAAGACAAAGAATGTGAGTTGCACCTGTTTCGCCGCGACACACAATGGCACGGAGCCCGGGAATGGTGTGACGATTGGGGAGCGGCTGGGGGATCTGCTGCGCCGACCCCTCCCTGGAACGCCTCCAGCTGTGATGTTTGTCTGTGCGTCCATGGACGGCTGTGAACATGCTGGCTACATGTGCAACGATGGTGAAGAAGAAACAGAGACGATGGGAGGATGGAAAAGAGGCCGTTTGCGGTCACTTGTCCGTCGACTCCGATCGTGCCTCTCTATATATCCTATCTATTATTCGCCTGGGCTGGCTTCGTAGCACGACGTCTCGTTGAAACAACCAACATGCTAACCATGGCGCTACACAGCTACCATCCATTCATTCACCGTTGAACGCACCACACCACAAGTACTCGGCTACTCGCCCATCATGCCTTCACTCACTATGTTGCGGCGATCCGTCGACGAGACTCCCCGGGCTCACTTCGACGTGGCCCGTTCGCTCTCTCAAATCGCCAACAAGATCCGCCCTGCAGGACAGATCGGTCCCCTGAAAGTCTTCGCTCGAGGCGACGACTCTGACGGCGGCTCCGATGCGGTTATCAACGCCTTGCTTATCGTGCTCGGCATTGCCTTTTCTATTCTTGTCCTTGTATCAATTCTGCTCGTCCTCCGCCGCGTTCGCCGCAAGCGAGGACTGGAGGAGCAGGAACCCGTTCTGCCCTCCTACGACGACGTCAAGAGCGGCCACCCCAATCACCGAGGCCTCACCATCGAGACCACCCACAATGGCCGCTCCAGCGTTCTCTTCATCGGCCGCGATGGCCAGCCCATGCTGCGCGCTCCTGGCTCACCACCTCACTCTCCCGACAACGTTCCCGAGATTCATATTACCTTCCCTGATGAGCAGGACGATCAAGGCCGCCGGAAGAGCGGCCGTGTTGTCGTCGTTCGTGTTGGCGAAAATGCTACGGTCGGTCTCGAGCCCATGCACGACGAGGATCTGCCCGCCTACGAGAAGGAAGCCAACGGCCAGTTCTACTCCGTCGACATGGACAAGATCGGCGGCCTCAAGGAGAAGGACCACTCCTACTTCGACCATTAGTGAAGTAGCTAATTGATAATTTTTCTTCCGCCCTTGGAAATTCTCCAAACCTATACCCCAGGCCCGGCCTACCCAGCAAAGAACACGACAACATAAAACAGACAAAAGAAAAAAAAGCACATATCACCACGCTCTCACCTAGACTTAACGATCCTCTGTGTAACGACTTCCCTTGGATACTAAAGTCTTGGAAAACCTCAGAATCTCTCGATACCATGTTCGTCTCTTCGTCTTCTTCCACCATCCTCGATTCGGCATCCTCGAGTCGCCGGCCATCTTCTTCTTCTCCGAGGAAGGTTATTTCATTTCTCTCTCTCCCTTTGCGGATCTTACGACATATAGACAAACACATGGCGCTACATGTGAAGGGGTTCAACTTTATGCAGCGGGTTTCTTCTAAAGTTTTTTCCATTCTTCTGATTTCTGTTTTGTCTTGTTGTTTTTTTCTTTTCTACCATACACAGCTGCACATGATTTGGGTCTTGGGTCTATTCGCCTTTCTGCCAGCCCCCCTCGGGCATGTTTCTCTTAGGAAACTGCCCTTTTTGCAGTGTGAAGCAATGCTCCTTGGCTTTCATGCTAGCGCTCATGAAGAGAGCTTGCGGAGGGAGAGAGAGCTGGCTCGGTGCTTTATCACTGAGCTGGAGTCGTGCTGTTTTTTAAGCATATGACAAGAAAAGGGGGTCGAGGCCGGAGGGGGGTTTATGGAGCGGGAAGGGGGAAAGTAGGAAAAGGGGGGGACGGGATGCAAGACCTTGGTACATAGCGGAAAACGGGCCATCTTTGATGAAAAGATGTGAAAAATGATGGCTCTTGTTCGTTTTCCTTTTTCTTTTTTTGTGTGTTATAGCTGTATAGGATGGATATTACTTAGTGTATAATTGAAGAATTATGCCTCGACAAGTGTTTTTGCCTGCTTCATGACAAGCTTCATGGATAGGTAGTCAAGTTGTGATCAAGTAAAATGGATGACGAGAACATCGGTAGCTTCACCATGTTGACAAATGCCTTTTGGATATTGTAGTTTGGGTCTCTCGTCAGAACGATATCGCGGCGACTCTGGACAAAGAAACAATGTGATCAGATGTTCCCGTGATTTACATGTTTTCTCATCATGTCGAGTTTGTCTTGGAAGTTGAAGAGTCTCTCAAGCTTTCTTCGTCCGCCACATGAGCGTATAAATGATCGATGCCTTCTAATATCAAGCCAACGTTTACACCTTTAATCAAGTCGACTTGGATGACGTCGCCCACGCAGCGTACGTGCCATCTACACATAACTGTAACGGCAAAAGCCCATAGATGTGCAATGCAAACAACGCAAAAAATGCCAAGAATGCCCCCAAGGACACCTCATAGGGATTTTGGACATACGCCTAAACACCAACGCTTTATCATATCAACAATAGCCCTCCAGAGATATATATTCCCAACAAAATGTCCAGTATTTTAACCAAAATTGTGCTGCGGAGGATATACAGGCGCACTGGTATGCCCCCCTGGATACGGTGGCACGTACCCGTTCATCATCATCCCCGGCTGAGACGCGATGAAGGGCTGTGGCGGAGCAGGCGGAACGTCTGGTTGTCGAAACATGGCCTGGCCGGGGAGGGTGTCGTCTATGCGCAGCATCGGCATCCCGCTGTTCCCGCTCAGCACGTCTGACGGCTGCATCATCTGGTAGTTGTTGGGCATCATGGCCAGCATGTCTGACGGCTGCATGCCCACGGCCGTCTCTGGGTCGTAAGTGTCGCTGATGCCCAGGGAGACGTTGCGCGCTTGAGCGAGGAACAAGGGGACGCCTGGCGGGCCGTGATCGCCGTCAAAGCCCGCCTCCGGAGTGGAATACGGCATCGGCAGAGGTGACGCGGCCTTGGTGGAGAGTGGCTGGGTCGTTGACGGTCCCATCCACCAGTCAGACACGGGCATATTCGCGGCTCGGCTCCTCTGTTCGTCTTTCAGGTCGGGGATGTTCATTCGCTCAATAAGAACATCCGATCCAAACATGAACTTCTCCTCGCCTGGTGCTTGTCCGGTAATGATTGCTGCGTTACCTCGATCGAGTATCTTTCCGTTTTTGTAGAAGTCTTCCACCATCGCCTTATTACAGTCGTGCTAAACGCCGCGTGTTAGATCGAACGTCCATGGTAGCTGCAAAACGAGAAAGGGGGTGAGAGGGGCAAGAGAAGGGGGCACCGCCCAGAATACAACTTACAGCTTGCTTAGCTATGTCGAATATCTCGCCCCAGACCTCGGTAATCTCCATGATGCTCTCGATCAGCGATCTGATCTGTGCCTCACTTGTCTCGGCGCCTCGCCAAACCGGCGCTGTGGTGTCACCCATATTTTCGTACAAGTTGTACTGCAGAGCGATGAGTAGTACTCGGATACACTGAGTGGACATGTGTGCAACCGAGTAGTCGCCAACAAGTTTGGGGGTGCCGGGATTTGGCATCCTGTCGGTCTCGATCTTGATGGCGTCCAAAAATTTGGCCAAACTCAGGGCATGGGCGACTGCTTGTCTCTGCGACCGCGCAATGAAATCTGGAGGGAGCCTCCGGAGAATCTCGATGGATGCTTGATTCCGGGGACCGGGCAATGAGAACCGGTAAAGGTCGACATGGCTCACAGCCATGTGAGTATGGAAGAAACAGTACCCCCTCCACTGTTCCGAGGCAGCGTACCGTGACATGCTTTGATCGGTCAGTCGCAGATCGTCGTGTATAGAGATATGGAACCTGGTTAGTTCGCTCTGCAGCCCAGCGATATCCTCCATGACCTTTGATGGCTCGAGGGACACTATGGGTGATCCAGATGGCACGGATAGCCTCTTCGTAGCTCTATAACCTTGTCAGTAATTCGAAGTAGCTTATAGATGGAAATAACAGAATGTCGCTGCAGAAGAGAGAGCCTTACACTTGTATGCGATGCCGTAGATCAACAAGAAGGATCTGGATGCCGTGAAGTCCAAGAGCAGGTGAGCAGCGGGTGGGCCTGTCATGAAGTCTCTCTGCAACAACCGGTCGGTTCTCCCTAAAAGCAGCCTCGTTGCAGGGCAGCCTGATCTTCATGTTCTCGGCTCGACAAGATATGTATTCTTCATAGCCGCCTGCCAAAAGACGGTCGAGACTGAAAAGCTGCCAGGCAATACGCCGAAGACATTCCTGCTGAATAAACGAAGTGTGGTGTGACGTGACGTCCCAGTTCAGCTGCAAGCCAATCATGAGCCTCGAAGCCACGCCAAAACATTGCCAGACTTTTGCGTGAGAGCCATCGAGGATGTTGAATAGAATGTTGAGGGCGAACAAGAAGAGAGCGCTCTCAGAGAACTTGTAGATGTTGCGGTAAATGTGCGTTTCGACTTGCTGGCTACATTTCCTTCCAAACTCCCGGCCGGCCGGGCCAGGGCTGACGAAGAAACTAGTAACAGAGCATACGGCCGCTGCTTGAGCAGGAGGGAATCTGTTTTCCTATAGACCGGATCTATTAGCTGAGATCGGTTGGTATTCGGCACGCCGTGGTCTTCCTCATACCTGAACGTCCCGGTAAGTGACCTTAGGGTGCAGGAAACCCAAGCTTGGCATCATATAGAGGAAATCGAAATATGCATCCAAATGGGTAAGAATAACGTCTCTTCGAAGTAGCATTTCCCTGCATCGTTTGCCGTTAGCTGGATACAGATTTCCTCTACACTCAGGGGGAGAGCGCTGCGTACTCAGCCTGGAAGTTAGTCGACTCAAGAAGATAGGCTGGAATCCCGGTGCTAGTGCTGCTTGCGGGACTGATCGCTGAGTTTTCTTCTTGCTTCAGAGGATGCAGAGTAGAAGGAGCTTGATCCTCAGCCTTCGGGCTGTGGAAGCGAACATTGGTGAACCGCCGCCTGGTGGGCGTATACTCGCAGACCAGGTTCGCGGACTCGCATCTCTTACACTTGGGCAAATCTCCAGAGCACTTGGTTTTGTGCGCATGGCACTGGCTGCAAGCCCTCTGTGCCCTTTTCCTCAGCGTCCCAGCTTCGGTATGGCTGTGCGAGGGTGTTGTTCTTGAGACTCGCTCTGGACTCGGCTGTCAGAAACTATAGGACTGACATTCCGGCGTACCATTTCGAAACCTACCTTCCTCGGAAGCACCAGGCGATGCGGCGAAGCTACAGCTGAGCTCCAACCTGGAACAGTTGCTGCATGGTCCATTCCCAGGATTTCCGGTACACTTGACCTGTATAGGGGGGTTAAACCGATTCGTCAGCTTTCAAGGCGTAGAAAAGGGGTAAATAACAACGAGTAGGTTCGAGTTCTCAATTCTCTGCAGGATACAGAGCAATAGAGAGATGCCGGACGACCACGAGTATTGTTGAAAGGTGAACCAGAGTCAAGCAAAGATATATGTCTATCACCCCGTGCGCCATGCAACGGCCGTGGGAAGGCAGCAATAGTCTCTTCCTTACCTTGCGTAACCGGCATGTGCGACAGCAGTCACCGGTGTTTGTCGTGGTCCGTCGGCGCTTATTTGGGGGTGACAGAGATGCAGAAGAGCTGTGTGTAGGCGGCGCCGAGCCTTCGGCGTCGTGCGGCTGCGGCGAATCCATGTACCCGTCCGAGGGTAGGAGCGGCATGAGATAGGCGAGTGATGTGAAGATGAAGAAACCAGCTACTACTAGCAACCGAGACGTGACCCGGAGTTGAAGACGTTCCTCCCCGTGTCCCTTGGAACAGCCCCAGCTAAGCCGGCGAATGGGCAGAGAAGCTGCAGGATGGGGCAGGCTGAGGCTGGCCAGTGGATGGGTTCCTCGGCTCTCGCGCGAGGCCCGTGGAGCCAAGACAGACAACCACGGAGAACGGCGGGAGAAGAAAGAATGGGATGCTCCTCCGAGGGCTTGGGCAAACCTCAAGCGGCTGAGAATCGTCGTCACGGTGCGACGAGGTGGCGCGCCAACGAACGGGGTGGGCTAACGGATGGCGGCAGGCGAATTTCATGGGAGCAAGGATGGCGGAAGTCGAGGCCGGGACTAAATCATCAGTCAGCTGGTAGTGGTATGTATTGCTCTGCTAGCCAGCAAATTAATCCGCATTGCGGCCGTCGCCTTTGGCTCTCGGGGAAGTCGTGGAGTCGTGCTGTCGCCTGGCAGGTCGGCACTCGCTGTTCCCTTTTCGTGTACTTGGCACCAAGCAAGCCCTTAATCCCGACCCTCCATGATGACTTGTCAGCCGGATTTCGTGATCTGGCTTGTGTGCTTTGGCGCCTCTTTGTCCCCCAGAATGCCCAGAAGGGCTCGATCTGTTGTGACCTAAGCTGCCGGGGTCCGAACGGCCTGGTCCTGGCCGGGCTCTGTCCTGCTGCGGGCTGTGGGTAGCGTCTTGTGCTTGTGATGATAAGCTGCAGAGGGTTTGAGGCGCTCTCCTCCAGTCGATCGGCGTTCCCAGGGATATCCATACTACTATCCCCATCTTCTGAGGTAAGCATCATACTGTACTGTACATTAGGTATGCGCGGACGCAGCGTCTTCGAGCCCTGCCTTTTCCCTCGACCAAGTCGCATCCTGGGATTCGTTGCGCGACACCCCCCTGGACAGCCGTCAGGCGGTAGTATTGGGCGTTCGACGAGGCATCTATGTAAGCCTGCCCGCGCAAAATGGATACCGTCAACGCCATCACTCGAAGCCGGAGAGAAGCGCGGAAACTCGATCGCCTTGCCACAGGATGGCCTCCCATGCAAGCCACCGAGATTCAAGGCGCCACCCTCGATGATCAGAGACTACTAATCGGATGTATCGGAGGCGGGAATAATGTGATAGTTGGAGTCTCTCCACTTCTCCTTTTCCTCCCTTTGCAAAGGGTCTTTTCGTTCTCTGCCCAAGCGGTTGTAAGTTGTTGCTGTGTCAGCATCGGCGATGCTCATTTTGCCTTGCTCTTGGTTAGCTTGACTCGTGGGGACCCGTAAATAATTCGAGTCGCGACCACAGCATAAGCCCTATGACGTTGGTTTTGATTGAATCTGCAACGAAGCTTGTCTGCTTCCATATCGAAGGGCCGATGAAGAATCCGGGCGGTGACCAATTGGTGACAAGTCGCTGCATTGATCGCGAACCCGCGAAAAATGCCCCTTTGGAAAGGAGAGAGCGAGTACGAAGTGTGCCTGTGTGTTTGAGTACGGGGGACATGGAAGTACTTAGTAGGTAAGTCGAGCTTTTGAATTACTCCATTACACGGGTACATGGCGGCACCCACGACGCGTTAGCTGCGACTTACCCGCCCGCATCTCATCTTATCATGCGTGTACATCCTGTACATCACCACGCAGCTCCCGCGCACGAGGTACGCTTGGTGCGCCTTCCCGACGCGATTGTTGGTCAGATTTCACACTGGCCAAGGTATTCTAGACCTCTTCTGGACGCCTGCAAGGTACCTTCCTGGCTGCACCGCGCACCTCAAGGCCACTTGTGGTCTTACAGCAGGTACCCTAGCGCAGAAGGTGACAGGTTAGACCAGGATGCAGCTGCCTCAATGATAGTCGCGCTCGGCCTCCGCTTGCCGGGAATCCATTGGATCGTTTCGGCAATCGTCAAGTTTCTTCGTTCCTTCTATATGCTCTCGTATCCCCTCGTATTGTTTGTCTTCTAGGAAGCAACAACCAGCACTCTTCCAGCACCACTTGCCAGTTCAAGGCATTAGGTAGATACTACGGAGTACATGCACAATTGTAAGTTGCAGCGCATTCAACTTCCAATCATTCAAGTTCCAGCTGTTTGAAGTAACTTGCATATATCAAATGCGCACCTCGCGACATCAGGACGAGACCCTCCCTACAACTCCGAGTCCGATCTTTGTCAACGAGGGAAACAAGCTTATTCACCCGTGATTACACATCATCGTGCAGATTTGGACAGCCGTCTCCCTTATATTCACAGAGGCTCTGCGAAGGATCGTTTGTCTAATAATTTAGAGTACTATATCTAGCTTAAACAACTACTACTACAGGTAGATATCAAGGCCACTGACAATTAGGCCGTCAACATTCGATGCTTACAAGCCATAAAGACGATGGAACCCAGAATGACTTGATACACATTTTTACGCCGCCGGCTGCATGCACCAGATGTCGCAATATCACAGCCCAAGCGCCATGGACTCTCCCTTAGTGCAATAGGTCCTTGAGGTCTTCATCTAGGGAGTACACATGGCGACATGTATAGCTTCCGCCTCGTCTATCAGATACCAGATTTAGCATGTAAGCCTTCTGATGTCCAGGAGATGATGGCAATTATCACAATGCCTGAGCAGCACAACTTACAAAGCGATTCCCGGCACGTCCGCTGAATACACATATTGAGAAGCGATAGGAACTGGTCATTCTTGCAAACACATTCGAGATTCGCATCAGGGCACTGCTCTTCTAGAGCCGGCCTGTAGCAGATCTCAAAGCAAGCCTGTCCATCCAGAGCGGTGGCGGTATAGATGTAGGCAAGTACACTCAAATACAGAGTGGAGGTGAACCTCTTCATTGCTGTGAGAGTACCTAAGAAGTGAAATGCAAGTTGCAAAGTGGGTGAAAGACGACCTGCGCGGTTGGGTAGGCTTGCGGGTGTGTGGCGGCTCTCTGACGAAGATTCGACCCGGGACATGTGCTTTTTCTCGAAGACGAAGCTGGCTGTGAGCAGTGAGACAGAATGGACCTTTCTCTTTCTCTTCAGCATCTATATAGCGGGGGAGGGGACAGTGAATCATCGGTGTCAACGATTACCAAAAGGCTAAAGTCTTGTAGATGCATTCCGAAACTCAGCCAAGGGAGTAGCAAGTGTCTATTAGACATGTCTCTCTTCTGAGCAGGACTCGACCGTTGGATTGAGTATCCCTTGCCTCCTCACGCTTTTCAACGTAGCGAGCCAACTGCTGAAACAAGATAAATGCGCAATAACACAGCGATACTAGCTTGCACTCTAGCCAGCGAATGTCTCAAAAATGTCGCCTTGAAGATGAGGGGCGCACCATTGCACCCCAGTAAGCCCAACGAGGAGACCGCGGCACGCTTTCTCACCACTTGATGAACCAAGCCAAGGGGAATTCGCTAGTATATTCCTCTGCAGTAGCTCTTCCAGATGAATGCTGCGAGCCATTACTGAGGCCTTTATACCTATAGTACTGTATACTGAGGTTCGAAACGTTCCAGGAACGGGGCGGCTCGGGAATTTACAGGAATTTAGCCTAGTTCTGTAATAATCGCGAGGTGGATGGATTCAGGGATCATGAAAGTCCCTTTTAGGTTGTACTGCCGTGCGTAGGGGTACTTGTGCCGACGGCTAACCCCGTTCTGGACTGCCCCATTAAAGAAAACAGGCAAAAACAGGCTGTTTGACTTGAGAGGTGTGTATTGGCGTTGTTGAGGAGTGGTTTGTTGAGAGCTTGGAAAGATAAGAGCCGGGCCTCATCTCTCGCCCTTCCCACCACGTCTATTTTGGAAATACTTCTTTGACCATACTTCAAGGAAAAAAAAAAAAAAAAAAAAAAAAAAAGGCAAGACAATAAGTATTGTAACCGGCTTGCAACTCTTCTCGGATGATGCTTGGATGGGAAAGTTGAGCCATTAAGATCCGGATGGAGTGGTCCTGTCAACTCGTCCTTCAGCCGCTTAGTTCGACGTAGAGTCACTACTCTCACATATTTATAATACTTCCCCAGCCAAGTAGTCCTTAACCAATGCTATTCAGTTGAATCATGTCAAGAAGTCGATCAATCTCCTAAAGAGAACATTGGGAGGAGGATTCGTTTCCCCGTGGTGATAGGCTGACAATTGGCAGCATCGGAATGGGAACTCGTGTGAAATGTATCGTGTTGTCACTCAATGCCAAGCCAAGCCGACTAATCACAAAAAGGAGAAGTGTGCATGGTCACTTACCTAGTTTTGGTAACGAGCAAGTTCTTGATTTGATCTCTTCCTGGAGAGCGGCAAATCCCTTCTTGATCCTCCCTCGTTGGCAGCCAGGACCAAATTCTCTTTAGGTATATCAATGATATTGAAGTTAGACGTCAAACAGACTCAATGCAGAGGATTGTTTGAAACTGGCCCGTTAGCCTTATTTTACCCAGGGTCCACCAACGGAGATGCATGAATTTAACGTTGTCGGGCCTGACAACCGTCTCCTGTCACTACTTGTACGTGTAAGCCTCCACAGCACTTACAACACTTCGTATCTGGCCCCTCGGCGGAAATGTTCGGCCACTACTATCCCCATCCACACAGCCGCGTAAGCCATTGACAAATAAAAAAAGTGATCCTTGTTCAATTGTCGGGATCGGAGTACGGAGTAAATGTCGATACGATGTCTGACTCTCTGCCGTCTGTCCTCAGTTAGGCTGTGTTTGCCGTCCTCTCTTCTCGTTGTTGCTCTCTACTCGTGCTGTTCTAAGTCCCTTCACTTCCACCACGTTCTTTATGTTGTTGAACCTTCGAAACCAGCTGGGGTTACACCCAAAAGCAGCTGTTAAATCTTTAATCGCCTTGTTTGCGGTTGCTTTCTTGTTTGCGAGTTATAGACTATGGACCGACTTCGGAAACGATCCTCAACCCGAACTGAGTCGGGGCTCGTTCTCGACTTGGCTGGAGCACCCCATACTGAAACTCATGATCGACGCAAAGGCTCGTCATGAGGAGCTAATGGCAAAGCGCAGCGGCAACCTCACAAGCGCTGCTGCCAGGTATCGAGAGCGAAGAGGAAGACACCCGCCGCCGGGCTTTGACAAGTGGGTTGAGGCTGCCATCGACAGCAATGCCATCCTTGTCGAGGACTTTTTCGACCGCATCTATACCGACTTGGCCCCCTACTGGTCCCTCAAGGCAGAGGAGATTGCAGGAAGAGCTAGTTCCTGGTGGTGGGTTGTCAAGGTGCGTAATGGGACGGCAGAGGGTGTGGGAGACGTCGAGGGCAGGGTGATATGGCTGCAACTCTGGACTGAACTCGTCAGTGAATTTGCTCAACACTTGCCCGATGTCGACATGCCCATCAATTACATGGACGAATCGCGAATACTTGTCCCTTTCGACGAAATCACAAAGCTGCGGCAGAAGGAAAAGGAGAGCAGGAAGATGACACCTATAAAAGAAGTCACAACTCAGTTCAAAGGCTTGATGGATATCGATGCTGCAAAGCTCGAGCCGTACGATCCCAGATGGCTCAATTTTGACGATGGGTCATTCTGGGACATGGTAGCCAAGACTTGTGCTCCAGATACACCTGCCCACGGCGTCGAACAGCTCTCCGACTTCACCGGCCCTGCAGAGTTTCCAAGCGAATGGAACCCGTCACACTCTTACAAAGGCTTTGTTCAGGACTGGAGAGCCTCCATGGATCCTTGCCAACAGCCCTACTTGCGCCAGCTGCACGGCACCTTTGTCAGGCCCGTCAGCCTGTCTTCCACGGAGGAGCTGATTCCCCTTTTCGGCGGGTCTAAGCTGTTGGCTAACAATGAGATCCTCATTCCTGGAGCCATGTATCTCGTGAACGACGAGTTCTACGCCGGAGGAGAGTTTCATGGAATCCCCTGGAATAAGAAAAGGGACGGCGTCGTTTGGCGAGGGGAGCCTTCTGGTGGCCATGCTGGCGAAGATATGTGGAAGCACTTCCACCGCCACAGGCTCCTCCAGATGCTCAACGGCACGACGGTCAGCCAGATGGAAGACAAGGACGAACGGGCTCCCACTTTCGAAATGCCATCACGGAGGCTGTACAACAGCGACCGTTTTTCTCACGGGCAGATCGGCCACTGGCTCAAGGAAAATGCGGATGCTGGCTTCGTCAACCTCTGTCCCCCAGACGAATGTCCCTTCCTCGTGCCCTACTACCATGAGGTCGACCGAATCCCAATGAAGGAACAATACGACTTCAAGTTCCTCCCCGACGTCGACGGCAACTCTTTCAGTGCTCGATACCGCGGCTTTCTCCGCTCAACAAGCATGCCTCTCAAGGCGACGATATATGCCGAGTGGCACGATGACCGCCTGATACCCTGGATGCACTTTGCACCCTTCGATAACACTTTCCAGGATCTGTATTCGGTCCTCAACTTTTTCGCCGACGGGCCGGGAGGGAAAGGCGATGAAGCCGCTCGATTCATTGCGGAGTCTGGGCGGGTTTGGGCAGAGCAGGTTCTGAGGCGAGAAGACATGGCGCTGTATGTTTGGCGGCTGCTGCTGGAGTGGGCTCGCATCTGTGACGAAAACAGGGAGAAGCTGGGATTTGTCGGCGACTTGCTGTGATTCGTTGTGGCGATACTTGGACGGTCAATATCTTGCCTGCTCTTGATGAAGTTGCATCAGGACCATCTTCCCCTTGGGTGCCAGGTGAGGGAATGTCATGTCATGTATAAGCAGGTACCCCGGCGTTGGATAGCACTTTCAATAATGTTTCGATTTCACCATACTCTACATTAATACGTTAGTATATGATCAAGGTCACGCCTTCGATCCGCCCCTTTCTTTTTGTTGCTCTTGGTTGGGTCTGTTACCTCTGTGAGGAAGTGTCTCAGGGAAGAGAAACTCTGGAGAGATCAAAGACTGCTCCAAGTTTGGGAGACTCTCAAGGCTTGTTTCTTCAAGGGCTCGTCGCTTCTTTCCTCTTACAGATGCATCCAAGAACGGCAGTCACCATGGCCTTTGTTTTCTTCGGCGTAAAGTATCTCCAATTCACAACCCTCCACGTTCTTCAGTCACGTTCTCAAGATTCACGGCAAATGTGAGCCGAGCCTGATCGTTTATTATCTCTCTACCTTGATACGAGCAACCACAATCGCTTTTGATTTCTCATTTTCAGGCTCTTAGTCAACACTTACCTATTACACGGCCTCGACGGACGCTCATTTACTCTCCTCCGAGAGCCCATTCTCTGCAACAACGGAATGTCCCTCTTCTTTTGCTGCGGCTCTCGTCGTCGAGGCAGACAGTGTGCAGGTGACGCTGAGCTCCCTGATACTCCCGAGGAGCAACGAATGAGGCGAGGGATCGCTATTCAACTGCCGCGCCACTCGATCGAGATGCCGATTCGGTCTCGAGACATGTCGTTGATGCCTGCTGAGCTGCCCCTGGATGACCCGACGGAGCTGGGGCAGCTGGTGGTGGACGACTCCGACGGCGAAGGAGAAGAATCTAATCCCCTGACAAAGACAAGCAGCGCGCTGAATGTCGTTCGCACGAAGCTCATCCGACACATCTCGCCCGAAACGGAGGCTAATCGTCGGTCTCGCGCATCTGCAGGTCACAGCCAGGAGGAAGTTGCTCGAAGAGCCGAGCTCAGGCGATTTCGGCATCAGAGAATTCAGGAGGAGCTCAAGAGCGAAGGAAACAAAGCCGAGTCGAGCGATACATCCCACCGCAGCACTCGCTATCTCTCTCCCCTCATTGACGCTGGGCAGCCAAGGGTCGGCCCCAGGGATGCTATCGAATTCACCGTCACCGTCACAGACGGGACTCAGCCGGATTCGGCGCAAGCACAAGATCCGCTCTCTATCAAGTCCGGTCAGGAAGACGAAGGTGTCTCCTCGCAAGTACTGGACGGACTAACGAAGTCTCCATTTACATCAACAGTATCTGGTTCGAAAGATGGTGACCAAACTTACCCCTTACGGCCACCAAGTACACACAGCGCTACATCCCAAAAATTGGCAGGATGTTCGTACAACGTGCCTCGTCTGGGTCGTGTGTTGGGCGCAGACAGCGAGTTTGACATTCGTCACGGAGCTTATTCTTGGGAGGAACAGTCTGCTCTTGGCGTTTGGCTCGCTGCACAGGGCTTGCGATCAGGAAGCAGCTCCATCCGCCCCGGAGACAGCGAGACGAATGATGGGGATGTTATAATCCCACTCTTCTCGCCCAGGGAGGATTTTGGCGGCATTGATAGTGTCGCAGATGCTCCGTTGCCCATTCGTTGTCCGAACAAGACCAAGGGGAAGGCCCAAGGCCGGGAGAGATGTTTGGAAGCCGCATCGTTCGTCTCCAGTTCATCTAATGGCCGTGACGAAAGCGAGGCTGATGCCACTTTTCTTGGCCGACATATGCTTGTGGGACCTGGGACTTTGGACATGGCTGCAGTAAGGCCCGCTGACCACAGCTCTTCCAACTACCCTTCTGTTCTTCCAAGCTTTCAACCAAGCCCAGACCGATCGCAGGCGAATTTTCATCATCTTAGCGCAGAAGACCTGGAAAGTCTTGAGCTTTCGCCATTCAGCTGTAAGTGTTCTTCTCACGCCCATTTTATCGCTCTGTGCAATGGGCTGCATTAACGAAGCCAACAACAGGGAAAGGCGATTTCTCTGTTATTAAGGATTCAAAGGCATCCGAGGGAATGAGCTCATATGTCACGGCGACAGATAACTACTTTCCGGATAACAATGCCAGCAGTGCTCAAATCAACTGCCCTCGGGTGCATGATTCTGATGATGGAGCATCCTTGGATTGCTCCGATTCCGCGACTTTCAATCAGCGGGAGGTCAAGTCGTCAACGGTGGGAATGAGGTTTGGCGAGGCACTATCGCGCAAGAAGCCCTCGTTGAACTTTGGCAGCCGCTTCAAGGAAGACTTTCACACAGGTTCTGTTGGGCCTAGCCGCCGTTCATTCATGGCGAAGATTAACCTCTCGATCCCGAGAAGATCCAAATACAGTTCTACAAGCTTCGGTACGGCGCCGAGCAGACGGTTTCCGAGCGAAAGGAGCGGGCCGTTGGCCCTGGAGTGCGAAGACTCGATTGGTATGCGACTGGAGGCCTCTATTGGCACATCCTCGGCTTTTCGAGGGGAAGAGGGCAGCTTTTTACCAAGTGACCTGAACCCAGTGACGCTTGCGCGTGTGTATGATTACCAGAAGCCACTGGGAACAAGGCACTTTGGGGCTCTCGAATCGTCTAGACTGACTCCTCACTCGGAACTCATGCTTGACGAGACTCAAAGTTCCACGCGGGGGATCCTTCAGCAATGGACGACCAATATACATGGCGCTTTTTCACCCAATGCCTCTTTGAAATCTCAATTTTCCAAGGCTCCGAGACGATTAACAAAGCTGGCTCCTGATTCCGGTGAAGCAAGCGTTGCGAACACTGACCTTCACCAGCTACCAGTAGATGCTGATACACGGCTACCAGTAGATGCTGATACACGGCTACCAGTAGATGCTGATACACGATCTGTTCCGACCATTGTTGTTACGGAGCCAGTGTCGCGTTTCCGGCCAGGCAAGCTAGGAAAGGCCATCAAGTCTGGGTTGAGGAAGTTGATGCCGTCTCATGGCAACGAGAGACAAGCTCAACTATTCCAGCTTTGGGAACGGCAGGATGAAAACGTCGGGCCCAAGATAGTGCGCACGGATACGCTGTCTATTGCATGTGAGCCTCGAGATTCAGCAACGAAGGGAGCAGCTGAATATGGCACTGTGTCTCCGAAGCAACATTTATCTGTTGAGGGAGCCACATGTTGCCCGCCATCCGCAATGAACACGGAAGGAGTCCTCGAGCTTGCGCGTCCAGCAAATGCTGCCAAGTCTGGCATGCAAGTTGAGTTAGATAAGCCAGCGCAGGAGCCCTGTCCGGACCATTGCGCCGAAGGTGTTTTAACGAGCGACCTCTTCTCACAGCCGCATGATCAGCCGAGAATCGAGATTGAAACAGACGAAGAGTTAGAAAGGGCTGAATCAATATCAGTCATTAGTGATGTACGGGTGCTGCGTCGTTGGAAATCGGCATTGGATGTACCAATGAGTAGGAACCTGGCTCTGACCTGGGTTGGCCAATCCATGGCGCAGTCTCTCAGCTTGGGTAATCTCAGAGCTTGATAGCGACGAGTTGGCACAAGTGAAATTTTTATTAGGGGAGGTTGGTCTTGTTACCTTGATTTGAAGCATAATAGCCAGAATACTATGAAGAGATGGATATGGGTTATCGTATTGACGGGTAGTACGGGGCTCGACCCGAGCCTCAAGCCTCACGCTGCGGGTGATGATTGATCGCCAAACCGGCTGGAGTGCCATCCAGAATGGCTTGTGTAATATAGATAGTCATGGTCAAGTGTTGAGAGAATATACTAGGCTGTCATATATTCTACAATCATTGCGATCCTATACTCTGTGATGCTGATACCTGATAATGCCCGTCTCATTAAACGTATGTGAGCATGCACATACTCATGGAGCAATGGTGTCAGAAGGCCGTATGAAGAGTTGCAGATCGCCCATTGCCCTGCAAGAACTGACACGGGATCTGAGGAAAACGGTCTTGAAAGCCTTTAGGCCGAGTGTATACACCTCTTGTTGCCGAACAGGTATGATAACTGGACCGTTGGCTGAAGGTATAGCATTATCCTAGCATTGGCTACCAGGCTGAGCTGTCTAATATGTTCTTCCATCATATAACCTTGGCATAAACAAAGGGTGACATTGGTTCAAATTCTTGAATTGCGTATATACATGACGGTAGCCGTGGAGAAGGGGTCGTGGTTTGGCGCAGTAAGGGGGGAATCGATATCGTGTGTGCTATCTCGTTCACGTTTCCAGGTTGATTTGCTTGCCGAACCTGCCATACAGCTCGACCTTGAGCTGCGTCATTTCTTCGCGGATGGAGTCGAGTTTTTCTTCCAGGGCGGCCGTCTCTTCGTCTATTCGCGTCGTTGCGGTGCCGAGCATTTCCTGTGCCTGTTCGAGAGAGAGATGGAAGAAGGCGTCGCCGATTTTGTATCTGTTGGGCATCACACCACCACCATAACCGTTAGCCATTACTAGCTTCTTCCGTATATATATATCGCGGCGTAAGGAAGAGGGGAGAGACAAAAGCGCACGGTATCTTTTCGTCTTCGTCGGCGAGTTCGAGTTCGGTCGAGATGTCGTCCAGCTCTTCCTTTTCTTTCTGTGTGTGTGCGCGCGCGTGTCAGCTTGTATGGCCCCGCGGCTTTTGTATGGCAGGAAGCGTACGCTCTTGAGCTGTAGTTCCTCCTTGAGGGCGATTTCGCGCTGGTGAAGGCGGCTGAATCTGTTGATCTTGTCCTGGTCTTCTCGGCGGACTTCGACGCCGTCTCCCTCCTCGTCTTCTTTCGAGAGCTAAAAGGAGCTTTGTGAGCTGGTTGCACGTGTGTGGTCTCTAGGGGTTTTGTCGGACATACCATTCGGCGCTGCACTAATGAGGCCATGGTTGGCTGTGATATCGAGACTGAGCTCGATCTGTTCTCCTGGCTATACAAGGAGCTTCTGCTCTTCTATCAAGAGCAGCGAAACTTGGGGTCCGAGGGAATGGTGGGGTATGAAACTATGGTGGGGTCACAGTGCAGTATTACCTTGTTGTCGTATACGCACTGTAAGTCAGTCACCGAGACAAGACGACCACTAACAAATTCGTGAGACGCGCTGGCAAAGACAACAGATATGACAACTGCATGCTCACCATAACAAGGCATCTCGAAAGCGACACCATACAGCCACCATGGTGGCAGGCAAGAAGCCTTACCCCAAGGCCACGCTGAAGAAGATTGTCAAGGCGCATTCGGGCATGAACGTTCGGAAAAACACCGACATTACGGTATGGCCCTGAGCGACGACGCGTTTCTCTGTGGAAAGGAAAGAGAAAGCGAAGCCGATGGCAGTGCTGACTCTAATTGCAAGATCTATCTCAATTATGTCTTGTTTATGAATAGGTGTGTTTTTTCCATGGCGCATTCGGTGGCTGCAAGGGGCATTGCTTGAACGTGCAGATGTTGACGATTTTTTCCGCAGATTGATCAAGGAGGCGGCTATACATGCAAAGCAGTCGGGGGAACGAGGGTTGACCGCCAGGAGTGTGCGAAAGGCGACTCGAGTATGGCGTCCCAAACTCTCACCCTTGAGTGATCCGTATACGTGCTAATGTGTATTCATAGGATGCCTTGGCCAAGTTCAAGGGCTGAACTTTGACTAAAATGTTATTCGGAAAGGAGCAAGGACGAGGCTCTTCGCTTGAGCTATTAGGCTGTGGAAAGCTTGGCTGCACTGCGCCGCATGCTACAGTACTGCTGCTCGGCCAGGGAAAACGTACTTTTCGGAGAGGATGAACGCCATGGCGATGCTAAAGGGACTGCTGCTTGCGCTGCGATCCATGGCGTGCTCGATCTTGAGGCTGCTGGCTGTTTGAGATCCCTGCTGCGACTCTTTGATACGCAAATGGGGCATGATCTCATTAGAGGACGGAAGGGAATTCTCAGCAGGGCTGAATTGTTCTATAATATGCCCACTACGTGTATATACATACTCATTACACTCTCAAGAATAGAGGTTGAAACCAAAAAGATGAGCAGGCGTCTGCAAGTTAAACGGATGGCGCAAACGGGATTGACGACGTCAGGCTCGATCGCACTACGTATGCATCTGGCTAATAAGGCGCCGAGTTGATGCCTCACATCCCGCCTTGTTTACTTGGTTGGCCCGGCAGTTGGAGGCCACGTGAGGGGGCAATTGAGCGAGAGCACGTCAACAAAGAACATCTCCACCTCCGTTTGGTGCCTTTGTTTGTGCGATCAATGGGCAATTGAGTGCCATTGTCAAAGAATTCGCAGTTTGAACAGTAATCTGCAGCATTTAGCAGTGTCGACACCCCTGAAAAGCCGAGAATTGCAGCCCGAGAGCCCTTCTGTTTGGTTCTAGAAGCCAAGCCCCCCCAGCAGACACAGTGACAGCTGCCGGCTTGCAACAGGGGGTGGGCCTCTAATTGACTTCACTACGCCTTCAGCCTCCAACGCCAGGTTGGTACCTTAAAAGTCCAGCTAAAAAAACGACAACCCGACACAAACAAAGCCTCCTCCACACCTGAACAACCCCCCTCAAAGAACATCACTTCTCCCCGTCTCCCCGACTCTGCACGTCTCTGCACTCTGCACTCCTCCCTGTCATCGTTACCGCGTCTCTCAATCCCGTCTCCTAGGACTCGAACGCTTCTTCTCTGCACCCCGTGTTCGCATCATCATACCCCCCCCCGTTTCCCAGCCTTGCGCGCACCCACGTTCGCTGGACACCCTCCCACGACAATCTACACCTTGCTGAGGTTGCGAGCAGCTCTTTGCCATCGTCTCTGCACCCTCTCCTGACCATGGCTGCTTCGGCTACCCAACCCGTCTCCAAGTCGGCCAAGAAGAAGGCCGCAAAGGCCCAGGTCCGCACCGAGTCCCCGACTCCCAGCGCCGAGTCTGGCCCCGCCGACAAGGCAGCTGAGGCTCAGGACGAGACCTTCGAGAGCCCCTACATCAAGGAGCTGCAGAAGTAAGACACCGCGTGGGCCGTCCCCCTTGCCACGAATGCGGCTGCTGACAAGAGAAACACAGGAACATCCGCAACACGGCCAAGAAGCTGGTAAGGTCCCCACTTGCGTCATACCCTGGCTCCGAACCGGTCGAGCATCTCGAAGCTGACATTCCATCTTCTCTAGGCCAACGCCTCCAAGACGGATTCCCTGCTCAGCCAGCACGCTGGCAAGTCTCTCGATGAGCTCGTCGCCGAGAAGATCCTCAACAATGACCAGAGAGCCCAAATTCTGAAGAAGCCTGCCCTCCAGGCTGCGCTGGCCCAGTACGAGGAGCAGCTCGCTCAGTTCCAGAAAGTCCACGAGCAGTACCAGGCGCGGGCGGCGGCCGACAAGGCTGAATTCGCCAAGTCGCTCGAGAAGGCCAAGGAGGAGGCAGTCAATGAGCTCAAGGCTAGCGTTGAAAGCACCCTGAACGCCAACCTTCTGGTTCTGTCGCAGTTCCTGCGTCTGGCGGCCTACCGTCGAGAGGAAGCTCAGGATCCCGAGTCTGACGAGAGCCAGGCCATCGAGGGTGTCCTGCTTGCCATTTACTCTGGTGATGAGAATGCCGTCGCTGCCATGAAGAAGCTGATTGAGGGATCTGATGAGCAAATCTTCAGCGTCCCTGGAGAGCAGCTTCAAACAACTTGTATGTGCCATGGGCGTAAAGGAGGGGTCGTCTTGGACTTGTTGCTAACTTCGCATCACAACAGATGCCGCCGTCAAGACGCTGGCACAAACCTACAATGCGCCATCCTACACCGAAGGCACTGCCGCCACGACCGAGGGACAGCCCGCCGCCGAGGTTGTCTCTGATCCTACCATCGCGAACGAGGCCGCGACTGAGATCGCAGCTGGAGATGGCCCCCTCACCAACGGCCATGAGCATGTGGCAGCCGAACCTGCTTCCAACGGTCTCGCTAATACCGACGTTGCGGATGATGCAGCGAACGCAGTTGCTGAGAGCCACTGGGATACCAGCAACCACGACAACTCCATTTCGCAGGAGTGGGTTGACGTTCAGAAGCCTGTTGAGTCAACCGAGGGTAGTGCGGAACCTACTGCGGAGGTTTCTGCGGAGCCTCCTGCCGAGGCCAAGAAGCAATCGTGGGCTGACGACCACCCCGACCCTGTCACCGAGGTACGTGTCTCGTAACGCCTTGTTTGTTTTGTATATTCACGCGAGCTCGGCTGACGCATCTCACCCTAGGGTCCATCTGCTCCATCTGCTCCTACCGATGCCAACGACGGATTCCACCAGGTCCAGCGCAACCGCGGCCGACAGGATCGCGAGGGCAGTGGAGGACGAGGACGTGGTCGAGGCGAGTATCGCGGCCGAGGCGGCTACCGTGGAGATGGCCGTGGCCGTGGCCGCGGTCGCGGAGGTGGTGATCGCGGCGACCGCGGCGGCGCCCCCTTCCGAGGACCTCGCCGCAACAACGAGTCGTAGAGCTCGCGCTCGCGGTTCGTGGGTAAGATCAGATCTCTTGCTTCTCTGCACACCCCCTTGGGAGGTGAATTGTAACATTACGACATGATGGCGTTACCTGGTTTCTCCGGCCACATCGGCGGAGCTGAGTTAGGGTGATTTTAGGCATTGCATTGGAGCTTGCCCAAGCTGGCAGGCTCTCGGGTTCATTCTGGCGGAAAGGGACGCGGTTGGGACGGCTTTTCTTTCAATAAGCACCTTTGTAAATCCCTCATGGCTCTTGGGACGTGCAGCATCTTTGAAGCAGGCTACTGGTATCCATAGGTGGTAGGAAAAAACTATATAAAGAGTTGCCTACGAGTGTTGCATGGATCTCGATCTCGCCGTTGGTGCTTCTGTGGAGTATCATACGAGCGTCTCCGACTTTCATGCACATTTCCATCGAGTGCTGTGCAGATGGGCAGAAGCAGGTGAACGAAGGATAAGCTACGTATACTTTCTACGAATCCTTAAATGAAACGAGTCCAGCTCTGTAGAGCCAAACAGTTCAGATGCCTGCAAAGTCGCAAATGTCTCGGAAGCAACTGTGTAAAACGCTTCACCAAGGTTCTTTCTCCATATCTTCCTGCATAGCAGCAACGTTTGGTCAATACTCTATGCGGGCAGCTGAGCATGATACTCGTCCTCCTGCGTGGTCTCAACTCGCCGGTATCAATGGTAGTTTGGCAAAGCAAGGCAGGATATATGGTTCGCTGCTGCGGGCAATTCCCAGCATGGGAGCTCATAGCAGGGAAAGTTGTTGTTAACCTCCGTTCCTGGTGTTAGTCAAAACTGTCGTGATTTAATGAGGAGACCGTGTTGTATTTTGAAGGGCGGATCAATAACCAACACTGGAGACCGTCTGGTCAAGCCCTGTGGCAGAGAAGTCGCCAATATCAATGACATCTTACATGTTCTGTGCCTCAAAAGGGACGAAAATGAGCCTTGAAAACGCCAATCATGAAAGCATCCTCAGAATAGCACTGGCATGGTGTGTCTTCAGCCCTTGGTGGCTGTGGACTTCCCACAAGTGCTGCGGCCAGCTGAGAGAGGGGCGTGTTTATAGGAACTGCTCATGTTGTTGAACATCAATAAGATGGCGGCTTCAATTCTCGTTGATGCTGAAGGCGCTGAGTGTTGTGTTTAAGTGTAGTTGGTTTGCAGGCGACTAAGTGAGAGGCTGAGGTCGAAGAGGAGGCAGTGGGCCGTCAATGCCATGTTATATGGCGTCGAAGTCTCCATCATCATCGTCATCGTAGAAACAGTCGTGCTGATAGGAGGCCCCGTTGTTCAAGCGGGAGCAGCCAACTATTATATAAGAGTTGCGCTGGAAGCCTGGTGGGAAGAAGAGAGCTGGGCTGGGGTATCGCCGAAAGAAGTTGGTGTGCAAGCCATGGCGTCTGGTGGGAGGGAGCAAGATGGCTTGCTGAAGCAGGGGTCTCCAGACCGCTTACCAGAGGCGGTTAGAGAGATGGAGGTGGATGCCTTAGGTAATAAGGCACGAAATTCTAGATGCCTCCATTCGATGCCAGTGCCGTCACTTAAACGTGGGGCAGCGCGTTAGTCCCAGACAGGAAGCAGTTATCTGCACGCCACCTGGCCTTATCCGCTATCAGTCTCGCAGTTGATCAAGGGACCAGCAACTTCTCGACTTGTCATCGTCGACTTGAAACTTGTCCTCTTCTCACGGGCAGCGCTTGAAAACCCGCTAGGGTGTTGCTTGAGGCCACATCTGCCGTGCGGCGCAATCTTACTTGGGCCTGCGAAGCTCCTGTTATAAAAATCCCAGCTGGACTTCTGCACCCCAGACCCCTCCTCTACAGTCCTGAGGGCTTGTATACCTGTTGGGCCTGGCTATCCGGGTCTCGCTGTCTCGACAGCGTTCTTCTTCAGAGTCGGATACCTGCGCTTATACTACCACGGCCATGAAATCACCAAGGAAATCACCGTTGCTGAAGCTCCTCGGAGCCGCGTTCCTTTTTTCCACCAATGTCCTCGCTATTTCAGCCGTTCTCGGAGTCGATCTGGGAACCGAGTACATCAAGGCGGCACTGGTGAAGCCCGGCATCCCGCTTGAAATTGTGCTCACCAAAGATTCTCGACGGAAAGAAACCTCGGCCGTCGCTTTCAAGCCTGCAAAGGGCACCTTGCCGGAGGGCCAGTACCCCGAACGGAGCTATGGCGCCGACGCAATGGCACTCGCCGCACGATTCCCCGGCGAAGTATACCCGAACTTGAAGCCTCTCCTTGGACTGCCGGTGGGGGATGCCATTGTTCAAGAATATGCGGCTAGGCATCCTGCGCTGAAACTACAGGCGCACCCCACACGGGGAACTGCTGCGTTCAAGACGGAGACGCTGTCTCCCGAAGAGGAGGCTTGGATGGTGGAGGAGCTGTTGGCTATGGAGCTTCAGAGCATCCAGAAGAATGCAGAGGTTACCGCTGGTGGCGACTCTTCGATCCGCTCAATCGTGCTCACCGTTCCCCCGTTTTACACTACCGAGGAGAAGCGAGCCCTGCAAATGGCAGCGGAGCTCGCCGGCTTCAAGGTTCTCAGCCTTGTTAGCGACGGACTGGCCGTGGGCCTCAACTATGCTACTAGCCGCCAATTCCCCAACATCAACGAGGGCGCCAAACCGGAATATCACTTGGTCTTTGACATGGGAGCGGGCTCTACGACTGCCACGGTTATGAGATTCCAAAGCCGTACCGTTAAGGACGTCGGCAAGTTCAACAAGACGGTTCAGGAGATCCAGGTTCTCGGCAGCGGCTGGGACCGAACCCTCGGCGGAGACTCTCTCAACTCGCTGATTGTCGACGACATGATTGCTCAGTTTGTGGAATCCAAGGGAGCTCAGAAGATTTCGGCAACCGCCGAGCAAGTTCAGTCTCATGGCCGCGCCATTGCGAAGCTGAGCAAAGAAGCCGAGCGTCTCCGACACGTCCTGAGCGCCAACCAGAACACCCAGACCAGCTTTGAAGGTCTGTACGAGGATGTCGACTTCAAGTACAAGATCTCTCGAGCCGACTTCGAGACTATGGCCAACGCTCATGTGGAGCGAGTTGGCGCTGCCATCAAAGACGCTCTGAAGGCAGCTAACCTCGAGATTGGCGACCTGACTTCCGTCATCCTTCACGGTGGTGCGACTCGTACTCCCTTTGTGCGAGAGGCCATTGAGAAGGCGCTTGGCTCCGGAGACAAGATTCGAACCAACGTCAACTCTGACGAGGCTGCCGTGTTTGGTGCTGCTTTCCGGGCTGCTGAGCTCAGCCCAAGCTTTCGCGTCAAGGAGATTAGGATCTCTGAGGGTGCCAACTACGCAGCGGGCATTACCTGGAAAGCCGCCAACGGCAAGGTCCACCGCCAACGACTCTGGACAGCCCCATCGCCCCTCGGCGGCCCGGCCAAGGAGGTCACCTTCACGGAGCAGGAGGACTTTACTGGTTCGTTCTACCAGCAAGTCGACGGCGAAGACAAGCCCGTCAAGTCGTTCTCGACCAAGAACCTGACTGCATCTGTTGCTGCTCTGAAAGAGAAGTATCCCACGTGTGCCGATACTGGCGTTCAGTTCAAGGCTGCCGCCAAGCTCCGTACCGAGAACGGCGAAGTTGCGATTGTCAAGGCCTTTGTCGAATGCGAGGCTGAAGTCGTTGAAAAAGAAGGCTTCGTCGACGGCGTGAAGAACCTCTTTGGCTTCGGGAAGAAAGATCAGAAGCCCCTCGCCGAAGGCGACAAGGACGATGCTGATGCGTCTACGGATTCCGAGGCCAAGACGGAGGAGGCCAGCTCTGCGACAACGTCATCTCCCACCAGCAGCACCAAGTCCGGGGATGCTACTCAATCCACGGATGCCGCAAAGGAGGAGGTCAAGAAGAAGCAGATGGTTTCTATCCCTGTTGAAGTCTCGCTGGAGAAGGCTGGAATCCCTCAGCTCACCAAGACTGAGTGGACCAAGGCCAAGGATCGACTGAAGGCTTTTGCCGCCTCCGACAAGGCCAGGCTGCAGCGCGAAGAGGCGTTGAACCAGCTCGAAGCATTCACCTACAAGGTCCGTGATCTTGTTGATAACGAAGCCTTCATCTCCGCGTCTACTGAGGCGGAGCGACAGACGCTTTCCGAAAAGGCTAGCGAAGCAAGTGACTGGCTCTATGAGGAGGGAGATGCGGCCACGAAAGACGACTTCGTTGCGAAGCTCAAGGCTCTGCAAGATCTCGTGGCACCGATTCAGAACCGTTTGGACGAGGCTGAGAAGCGGCCTGGTCTGATTACTGATTTGAGGAACATTCTCAACACCACCAACGTGTTTATTGACACTGTCCGTGGGCAGATTGCTGCGTATGACGAATGGAAAGCCACAGCCTCGGCCAAGTCGGCAGAATCGACCACCTCAAGTGCTGCCGCCGAAACGACGAGCAACGACTTTGAAGGACTCGAGGACGAGGACGATAGCTCCAAAGAGGCTGAGGACAAGCCCGTTCCTGAAGAGGTCGTGCCTCCGCTGCACAACTCTGAGGAAATTGACACACTTGAGGTTCTCTACAAGGAGACTCTGGAGTGGCTGAACACGCTCGAGCGCCAACAGGCAGACATTCCTCTCACCGAAGAGCCCATCCTCATCGTGAGCGAGCTGATTGCCAGGCGAGATGCGCTTGACAAGGCCAGCCTGGACCTCGCACTGAAGAGCTATACCAATTACCAGAAGAACAAGCCCAAGAAGCCCACCAAGAGCAAGAAGGCGAAGAAGCAGGACAAGACGAAGAGCGCCGACAAGGCCGGCCCCACGTTTGAGTTTCCCGAGGGAAGTCAGCCTCTCTCCAACGAGGAGCTGGAGGAGTTCATCAAGAAGTACATGAAGGAGGAGGAAGAGTCCCGCAGGCAGGCGGAGGGCGGACAGCCTGAAGGCCAACGGGCGGAAGAGAAGCCAGCGGAGGATACAGAGAAGCCGGGCCACGACGAGCTCTAAGGTGCGGGCAGGCTGAAGAGCGTTACTGATACATTATGTTTAAAGTATATACTTAGTCAATATGATACGAAAAAAGAGATCACCATTTTGCGACCTAGATAGATGGGCTTTGAAATTTGAAACTAAAATTGCATGTTTCAGGAGGGCTATTGGATACTGTGATGGTCAGTGGCTGCTTGTAATGACGGGCATGTTAAGGAGTAGCAACCATCGCTCCCACTGGGGAATCGTAGGACCAGACGAGAGCTCGTCCCAACGCATCTGTCAATCCGCCTCCCATAGCCATACTGGTATCAACTTATTTTCTTCGGGAAGCTGTATGTAAGGTGTTATTACCCGTTTATGCATAACCCAAAGATTGTGTTTTGAGTAGTATCCCGCTCGTGTTACTCAAGAACGGCAACGCCATGTTGTAAGGGGGAGAGAAGCCGTGTCGTGCAAGCCCTCACCTCTGTGAATGCTCGACCCCTAGGACCTCAAATGACAACGTCTTTTAGATTGTTGATATCAAGAAATACCCGAGATATACTATTGATCAAGTACCCAATATCTATTGAAGGTATGAGAGTAGGATGGATAGTCCAAGCAGAAAACAGGTGAGACTGAAGGACAGTTTGAGGCGCGGGTGCTCGTCCGGCACGCCAAACGGGCAGCTGCAGACGGGCAGTGAATCACACACAGACAACCTTCCCAGCTGGCAAGCCGTTTGGGCACTTCTCTCGAGTTTCATCGTGCATCAATCTGTACCACAAGGTTCCCCGAAATCTCATCCTTCTCTTCTTTCTTCTCCCCCTCTTCCCGTTTCTTTGACCCTCTCTGTTTTCTTCTGCAATTCTGTTCCCGCAAACAAAGTGCACATCACACTCACTCGCTACTCTACCTTGACGTCTTCTCACAAACTCCACTCCTTCTTCTTCTTCTTCTTTCTCTTCTTCCTCTTTGTTCCTCGTCAGGTGCAAAACGGGCTCGATACAAACAAGGGAAAACGCATTCAGCCATGTGGCACTGCTTCATCCTCCTCCTCCTGTGCACCTCCTCTCTGGCCAATGCCGTTCCCTTGTCAGATGCTGCTCTACAGTCTTCTTCTCAGCATGGGTTCTCGCTGGCTGTGAATCCAAAGAGCGATGCCTCGCGGAACTTTGTCCGCGATTGGGCTGCTGCCCGGCACAAATGGGGCAATGGAGTGCCCAAAGAAGGGGCGTCCATGTTTTCTTTGAGTGACAGCCGTGAGTCTGACTTGTTTGTGCTTGTTTTTTTTTTACTTTGCGTGAGATGGAGATGAAAAACAAAGCTGATATTGTTGGTGCAGCTGGGCGCGTTGATGTCGTACCTATGGGAAGCGACGACATCTATCTGGCTGATGTGCAGATTGGGAATCCTCCTCAGACGGTGAAATTGGCCCTGGATACAGGGTCTTCAGATCTGTAAGTCAAAGCTTCATGAGAGGAGCCAACTTAACTCCCAAGGCTGATCCAATTCATCAAGATGGCTTCAATCAACCGATACCGAATATCTGTACAATGTAAAAGGCCCATGGGCCCCTCTATATCGTCCCAACGAATCCACGACGTCTCATCTCGTTGAGGACGCCAAATGGTTTGTTTATTACAGTGAGTGCTGAGTTGAAGATTCTGTCTCAGACAGCATTGAGCAACCTTGCTAACCAGCTCATAAGTGGACGGCACCCACGCTGACGGCATTGTCTATCATGACACTGTCTGGCTGGGCGACTTCAAAGTCGAGAATGCAACTGTCCAGTCCGCGAAAGCAGTCACCAGCCGATTCGAACAAGACATCGAACTGAGCGGCATCCTGGGGCTGGCCAAGAGGCTGCCAAACACCGTTGAGCCTCCGGCCCCGTCCTTCCTCAGTCTGCTGCGGCAACAGCTCAAACATCAGGTATTCGGCGTTGACCTGAACAGAAACGCCTCGGGCGTCTTCACCTTTGGCTACCTCAACGAAAGCCGCGCCTCGGAGGAAATCGCCTGGGTCGATACGGACCCGGACAGCCCCCACTGGGACGTCGAGTTCAACCTGACCACCTGGGGCCCGCAGACTACGCCGTGGTACTCGCAGCCCTTCATGGCGACAATCGACACGGGCACCACGCTCATGTTTCTGCCCGACAACCTGGCCAGCGGATACTGGCTGACCGTCCCGGGCTCGAAAGTCGACAGGCAGCTGGCGGGCGCCTACTCGTTCCCCTGCGAGCTCGCCAAGGACCTGCCGGATCTGATGCTCAAGATCCCCGGCTCCGACCGCATCCTCACCATTCCCGGGCCGTATCTCAACTATGGGCCTTCCGAGCTGGATCCGTCGGCTTGCTGGGGAGGGATGCAGAGCGCCGACGGCCTAAAGGTGACTGTGCTGGGGGACATTATGCTCAAGGCGTTGTATTTGGCGTTTGATCTCGACAAGGGGAGAGTTGGTTTTGCCAAGAAGCATTTGCATGACGTCTATTGAGGAATATAGGAGTAATATGACTCCTCGTGGGCAAGAGTCGAGTACGACATGTCTGAAATTTTGATCCCCTTGATCATGCTGCATGTATAGCAAATACACGCGAGTTAAGCCATGTTATGATCCTCTGACTCCGCCATCAAGAGAAACTATGCAGGTAGTGTTTCTAGCCTTCTGTATTGCATTCATCCTAGAAGTGGTATATACAAGCACTCCCTGCCAGCCCGTCATTACCGGGAGAGGCCAATGGATGGGTTTCCTCCAAGTTTGCCGCGGACTCCCAGCACAGCTCCCATTTCACACCCGTCCACCCCCGTCCATCCATCTAGCCCATCCCGTCCAAGAAATAGCCCCCTCCCTCCTAGTATAGCCCATTTCGTTTCAAAAGAGAAAGAGAAAGAGAAAGAAACATGCTTTGCATTTGTTGTCGATTGTTCTTTGCTGTGTGTGTGTGTGTGTGTGTGTGCATTAAATGGTATAAAATGTAGTAAGATGTGCGTTTGATGGTTGGGGTATGTATGAAATCATCTCCTGTTCCGCCCTCTGGAAAGACAGACGTAAAAGGCTGGGGCAAAGGGGCGAGAGAAAAAAAATCAATGATGCAGCTTCCGATTGGGAAGAACAGTGATTGTTGTTTGATGGAAAAGTCCTGTAATAACGCCGGGAGTGAAACGTGTCGTTTTGTGAAACGAGTGTAGCTTGGGGGGGAGAGAGAATGATCGCTGTTGTGTCCGGTGGTGTGAGTGATGCGTGAGTTGGTGTGTGGTATATTGGTCCAATTTTTTTTGTTATTTTTCTGTTTATTTCATATATGGATACCTGTTGTTGAGCGAGTGCGCGGGGAGGGATCGAGAAAAAAGACAAGAAAGGCGATTTGCGGCTGATGGCGTGTTCCCTGTCCGTCGTGTCAAGGTGTCGAGTGGCCTTCCGAGTGGTGTCTTGGGTCCAAGCTCCTGGTCAGGTTTCCGTTCGATTTCAAGTCCGGGGAGATAGCAGCGCGCGCGTTGGCTTGACGCGGAATGGCGCCCAGATTCGGAGCGGATAGCAATTGTCGTCGACGGCGCATCAGAGGCAAACCAATGCAGGCTGTTTCCTTTTGTCCCGTGGTTGTTGTTTCATTTACTCGCGATCACCATCTTCCAGAAAGAGAGAGAAACCAAAAAGTCAGCGGGGGCCGTCGTCCATGATATCGGCTCGAGTGACAACGTAATATTCACCTTCACTGGCCCCGGGGGTGGGAGGCATGTCACCAGAGCCGGGGGCTTGCTGGGTCGGCCGCGCGGTGCCTGGCCGCGATCTGGACTTACTGTCATCTGTGGGCGCCGCGGAGAGAGACGAGGCTTCCTGCTTGGGGGTCGAGTCGTCGGCGGGCTGCTTCTGGGCGTCGGCGGGGAGCACGGATTTGAGGCGCTGTTCCATCTCGCGGAGGCGGGCCTCTAGTGCGGCGAGCTCTTCGTTTGTCTTGGTGACGTTGTACTTTCTGGAGGGCGAGCGATGCGTGTCAGTAGAGGGTAAGTCAAGTTGACGGCAAAGAGGCCGTGGTGGTTGTGAATTTTGAATCGTGATGGTGAGACGAACCTCGTGTCATACGACTGCTGCAGCTCAGCCTTGGTCTCGTCGAGGTTGAAGATGTCCTCCAGCTCCAATTGGAAGTTCCTGGCAATCGTTCTGCAGACGATTGAAACATGACATCAGTCAGCCAATGCGATCTGCCAGCTTTTTGTGTTTTCTGTTTGCTTTGCAACGGGTCGCATCGCGAGGGTGAGAGTGAAGGTGGACATACGACTGCGGTCGTCGGCCGTTGGGCTGCCAGTTGCGGTCAAGCTCCTCATCCGTGAAAGACATGGTGGCGGTTGGATGCAGTGAGGGGTTGACCCGGGAGAAGCGAAGTAGAATCAGAAAAGAGAAGAAGCTGGACAGCGGCAAGCAATTGTCGGGGCTGGCAATCCGGTCCGATTGATGCGCCTCTACGGTTTCGGGGAGGGTGGAAGATGTGTCGTCGCTGGGATGGTGGTGGATGGCGGATACGGGCGACTTGGCAGAGGGCAGACAAGACGTGATATTATCGGAGAGAAAAGAGAAAGGGAAGAAAAATTGGACTCGACTGGGCTCTGCAAAACTGATGAATGATTCGTTCTCTCTCTTCTTCGCTCCCCTTTAACCTGGTTAGACGGCGGAGCCCAGGAACCAGCGACGAAGAAGAAGCAGGGGATGCTGCAATCGAGGGCCCGACAGCGACAGGGGGGTGTGGCGGACACAGTCGCAGCCAGAAGCAACAGGGAGTCTCGCTCGCCCAAATTCGAGTGGGCAAGGGGGGAGAGGAGGTGGAGGATGAGGAGGGCGCTGATTCGAGATTTGCCGGGCTCCAGAAACGGGGTGGTTTTGCTAGTCAGGTTGCAGGGCAGAAAATGGGGAGAAGACGAAGGTGGATGAGGAGGAAAGGAAGAAGGGAGGCTGAACAGATTGATGACGGAGAAAATAGATGCACGATGGTTTGGATTTGGAGCTCGCCGAGCAATTGCGAGGTTGTTCGGGCGGGATGATGCTGGAATAGCGAGTTGCTGCGACTATCGCAGGCGTTCATTCGCTGGGAAGCGAGAGTGGAGTGGCATAAAAAAGGTTAACTTTAATACGAGTGCCGTGGCCGTCGAGAGAGAAATAAAGGGGGAAATGGGATGGAACGCAGCTAAAATAGTATCGAGACAGAAGGCATCAAGATGGTGGTGGTGGTGGTGGTGGTGCAACTGCTATCTAATACTTGCTGTACACGGGTGATGGCCGTGATGATTTCTCCCGCATCCATCCATCTATCACAGCCTTCTTCTCTTCTGCTCGCCCCGATCCAGCCCCGGGTCATCACATGCAAGGGCCCCGGTGGCCGCGTCTGGTGATGACTGCATGTATGTATGTATCAGTTGCTTCCTGTCCGTGTTCGAGAGCTCTCCCAAGCAAGCACAGGCAAACAATTTGGTAGCAAAAACAGCACGGGGTTCAGCGCCCAACCCAACGCCATCGACACCACAAAAGTCAACAGCCCCCCCAGTCAGGCAGGCATTCAATCTATGCACTACAGCCACTAGCTCTGATGCTCCGGGGCGGGTCATTTGATGCAACAAACGCCATCAAATCAATCCGCGTCCGCCAAAGCAGCTGAGCTCCAGCTGTGCTGCTCAAAGTATCCATCTACTGTATCTGTACAGCTCCTCGGCAGGGTAAAGGAAACCCCTCGCTTGAAGCGTCGTCCATCTCGCTCCCATCCGGTGGCATACGAGAGCACGTACCAGTCAACAGCAGAGGCGAGAGGCGTACCGGAGAGTCATAAAGGGACAAGAAGAGGAAAAAGAAACGAAAAGGAAAAAGGGAAAAGGATCGAGATGGACAAGAACAGCACCGCATTTAGGGGCCGAGGAGGAGCAATTAGGGGTCCGGGAGCGTCTGTCTGTCTGTTCCCTTTTTTCTGACCCTCCTCAACGTTCGTCGAGCTGGGATGACATCAGTGGTAATTATTCGGGGCCCCTCATTAATCGCGCCCCATTTGGCTGCTGCTAGAGGTCCCAGACTACTAACGGGATCCATGAGGCTGCTCAATACGCGGGAGTAACAGGCACATCTCGTCGTGCTGTCGTAGCATCGGCCGCAAATCGCCAGGCAATGGTGGTGTTGCCTGGACGCGGACCTGCATGAGAGAGCGGCTGGAATGAACAAAGTAGCCCGACGGAGTAAAGATCCGTCCATCCACCATCCGCCATCGTGGTTCAACCGCAACCCCCAAAGAGCTTGACATCAGCTCGGCTTCATTTCATTCCAGCTGTCTCACGCAGCTTCGACAGCTCACGCAGCTCTTCATAAGCTTCGGAACTCTAATGCAGCGAAAAGGCGACGTGAATCGGTGCACCGCATTGCTCGGCACGCCACTCTGAAATTGTGATTGGCGGCGACCGTCGACCGACAGCGTAGAATGCCGGTTTCCCCACACACGATGAGCCTCAATCGGTGATTGTCAGAGGCGAGATAAGGCAAACGACGAGATGGAAGAAATAAAGAAAGAAAGAAAGAAGCGATGGTGATGCATCGTGGCGATGCCATTCAGCTCAAAACTCACGCCGTCAACCTCGATACTACCGTAGATGCGATATTGCCATGAGCTGCAGATTGTACATGTAGCTTATACTCCGTGCTCCGTACAATATCATGCCCAATACCCCGTACTCCATACCCGCAACCACTTCGGGCTCGTCTCGTCGCGATAGTGGCAGAGCTGCTTCCATGCCTCCTTCCTTGTTGGATCGTGGCCTCAGGCAGCCCCTTGTCCCCCCCATTTCCAATTTTAGCTTCGCGAAACAAGACCTTTTCCTTCTTTGACAGAATGTGCTGATTTTGTGTCTTGATTCAACCGAGACGACGGCTGTGCTTCGTTTCTGTCGCTTTGCAGGGGTTCATGTCTTCATTGTTGGTGGGAGAGACCTCGAACTTCTCCCCCTAGCCGGCGGAACAATAGCCATCATTGCTTCAGAAGGGATTCTGAGCTTCATATCCAAGTCAAGTGCCATCTCCCGCTGAAAACCTTTGCATCACGCTCTCAATCCTCCTGACTAGAAAGACTGATAGCTTCTAGCTTGTAGCTAGCTCTCCCAGACTCGCCTCACGTGCTCCATCTCCGTCTTCTGATGTTGTGGTAATAAAACTCAGTGTCAGGACCCTTGCATCACGAGACTCCAAACTGCAAGTGCTCCAACTCTCGACTGCGTGGTGTCTGGACCAGCGGCCAGTCAATCTTGTCGTCGCAGCCGTCGTGCTCTTGTTACCAAGCTTCAATCTTGGCAACGTCCCATCCACTCATCCACTCATCCACCTCTACAGTACTTTGTCCTCTCTCGCCTTCGGTTGCCTATGTATGATCCTCCTGCTGAACCCACAGATGCCATCACGGAACCTGTACTGAAAATTCCATCGTCGGCTTCGGCATACTGCCCGACAGCTTTCGAAGCTTAAGCGCGCCAGTCTCTCAAAAGCGGACAAAGTCTTGCGACATGCGCGCCCTTGAAGAAGATACGCATAGCTGTGCTGAAAACGACATAGCCGCTGCCGCCGTGGCCGAAAGAGAGACCGTCGAGCATTGCAATACTGTCAAGGTACAGTTGCTTGTTAAGATCCAGCTGAGCTACCAATCGATAACCGTTGGCGACACCACATGAGTGTCGGCATCAATGTTCAGATCATGGGGAAACAGCTGGGAAGTCATAGAATGCTCTCTGGCCGGATTTTGCTTTGGCAATCTCGCTCATCCAGCGTTTGATCACCGGGCTCCAAAGTATACCAAGACGACGAGGTAATCGGCAGCAACAAAACAAAGCAAAACAAAGTGTCAACCGAAGCATCAATTCTTACTATATAATGACCATCCAGATATATGACGCACGCAGGTTTGACATATGTGAAGAATGTCTCTTCTCCTGAAATTGAGAGAAGCAATCTAAGTGCGTGTGAGCATGGATGTGACGTCTTCTCCTCTGTTATTTAGGTAGGTATAAATGACGACCACCCCTTCTTCTTCACTGTCTGCTCGAGCTTGCGATTCATCCTCAGAGAGGCCCAGTTGCGAAAATTGCGAAGCAAAGTCATCGAAAGGCTCACCAGAGTCCTTGTCTGCCCGCTTAATGACCCCGATAGCAGCCACGTCCAAACTGTCACCCCGCCACTCCATCCCCAAGCATCGCCGCGAGTCCTCCTCCCAGACCCACAGCGTGTAGTACCGAGAGATGGCGACGAAGATTGCGTCGCGGATGGCGGGCACGGCCTCCGTGCACGCAGCCGGGGCAGAGCTGAGGTCTCGAAGATCATCTTCGATGATTCCCGTAAAGGGCATGATGCTATTCGTAGCCGCAAGTTCGGCTATGCCCTTGTGTGCGGTTCCGCTTAGAGCAACATATGCCTGGATGGCCTCGATAATTCTGTGCACCCATATGTCGTTCAAGCCGGCAAGCACCTGGATCAAGCGGACGATCGGCGACGCCTCCGCCGCCTGGTCGTCCAAGTGTAGATGAGCATATTCAAGGGAAGGCTCCTGTCTCAAGCGCTTCCAGATCTCAGACCATTCGTGCGTGTTGAAAAACGCCAGGGTTTCTTCCTCGAGCCCGGGCAGCGCGAGCGGCACATGGAAGTTGCCATCTGGTGCCGCGACATGCCGAGGGGTCCTCTGGAACTCTTCGAGCCCAGAGGCAAAGTACTTCCCGTACCGCAGCCGAAAACACTCGACGTTCAAATCGTCGAGGCGGGCCAGCGCATCGGCGTACTTGTAGTCAACCCTTCTACGCTGGGACCAGTCGGAGAGCAAAGCGCTGTATTCGGGCATGTTTCCGAGGCCAGCGAAGTCTCCCATGTCCCATCTGGTCGAGAGAATCTGCACATGCTTCTCGGTGGCGGGGCTGACGGAAAAGGGGTCCCGGGCCTTTTCAGCAAAGATTTGTTGGAGACCCCCTTTCACCATTTCCGCGATGGCGGCAATGTCGTTGGTGCTGGGCAGTATTTCCCGGTTTTCGTCCAGAAGGAATTGGGACATGATTGCGTTAATGTTGAGGTGGTTCCAAAAGTGATAACTAAAGGCTTGATATGTGACGACGCAGCAACTGGGGGCTGGAGAATCATACAAGTTATCGATGGATTGTAAGAGAGAGCAGAGTATGACGAGGAACGGTGGGAGACGCAGGAGTATTTATACCCAAACGAAAGGAGCAAAAGTAGGGCTTTCTACATGAACCTTATGTTGCTTTAGAGATATGACTAGTTGAATCGAGGTAGAGGGGAGGAACAAGTCTGTCTAGCTATGCTAAACATGGAAGTCTTGAAAGTGAGGCTGTAAAGCTTAACAAGATTCGTCCTAGCTATGCGGTAGGGAGGTGTTGAAATAGAGTTGGCCAGTTCCAGCCACGGTAAAGGCAGCATGCAACTCGGTCCTATTCTTATCGGAGACGCGTGGACACCCTACAGGACGGAGACATTCAGCGACCTGAAGCGCCGCCTTGCCGACCGGGAGACATCCAGAGGCGATCTGGAGCGTGAGCGTGAGGAACGAAAGGCCAACATTATGAGCCTGTAACTCTCCAACGAGAAAAAGAAGAGCGATGTCTCCGAGATTGACCTTTGGCTCACTAAGAAATGGAGGACTACCTTACGGACAAGCGCCTTTTGTTTCTCTAGAGGTCCGTCCTCCCAGCCTCCACCTGTCCCAACTTTACCAAGCCTAATCCTTCCAGGTATCAGAACCAGCTACTGAAGTAGCACTTTATATACTTGATAAAGTAGCAGTAATAAGAATAGATAGCAAGGGTAGAAGAATATAGCAATAGTAGCAGGAAATAGGTATATGTCTATCTACTATTAGAAAGTAGCAGGTGCTACTCTATTTCTCCCAGCCTTACTTTCTCACTTGTCTATCGTGACTACCTTATATGAATTTCTACAGAACCTCCTTTAGAACCACGCTAGTCACATCCATCCCTATAGCAACTCGAGGCTTCCATAGCAAGCTCTACCTAATATTCACTTGCTGGTATAAGGGAGGGTATTCAAACTCTTGGATACCCTATGCCTTTCTCTACACACTCTACTCTCTCCCAGAATCCGACTTGTTATTCCACGGCTCTCGGTTACTGCATTACCACGTACCACCATTCGCTACTCACTGGTAGTACTCCTACTCATTGAAATTTTCAATACCTTTTACACATCATGTCTCAATCAATTGAAGATCCTACTGCCCCAGCAACGCCCCTTGCCAAACACCCCAAGCCTGCCAGTATTTCGAAAAGGCAAGGCAAAACCTCGAGGACATTGTGGCCATGTACGACATGGAATCAACCATCATCAGCCCAGCGACACAAAAGAGAGCCGCAATGGCCCTGCCCATAGCCGCGTCGCCGAGTACGTGGCACAGAAGAAGACAAAGCTTCTTGCGGAAACCATGGAGACAAGTCAAAAGCGTTTTGCGGTCTTTCAGTGGAACGAAGAAGAGCAGGAGTGCTCAGGGTACTTGGGACTGGACGAGAGCTGACTTTGGGGTTGGCAAATGTTCGACGTCGAGACAAGAGGCTGGAGGCTCACTGGGGGCGAACCAGGGTACGACGCGAGTCAGACTGGGAAGGGCGTCCAAAGTGGTCTTGGAGATGTCTATCATTACGGTATACAATTGATGTAATAATCTTCTTTGAATACAGAGTTGATCTCTGCAGTTACTCGCTCGTATATTGTTCCACGTATTATGATATAAAACTCTTCTAGACAATATGCAGCTGCTCGCCAGGTGCCCACCAAAACTCAATGTCAGTCTCAATAAGAGCTCAGTTGACTTTTAAACAACTTGCTTTTGTCTTTGGTTTTCTCAGTTACCTTGGAGAGTGCTACCGTCTCAAATGGAGAATATGCTCTCTCTCAGAGTTCATCATGAGCCTCATCGTCCTCATCTAATGCCCCGTCCCAAGGCTGCGCCCTTCCTTCTGAGATGGCCACAATAAACTGATCGACCTGTCCAGACGAAACAGCATCTCCCCTAAAGCGGTAAATTTGTCCATTATGGACATTCTGCACTGCTAGGCCTCCGGTGGAGCGAACGCCAAGATTGAGCGGCATGTCGGGATACTCGCGGGAGTCGACGGTGACGAACTGGAGGAATTCGGCGTATCGCCGGGCCACGGGCTTGAGTGCTTTGACGTATGCCTCGCGATCTGCCTCATTGTTTGTGAAGTAGAAGACTAAGGACCGCCCGGACTAGAATAGGGGTTAACAACCAAGATGGTACGCACAGAAATTTAGGGAGGGAGGAGAGGAGGAAGAACATACGGAAAGGTGGGTCATCTCGTTGCGTCGTGTAAGCTGAGGGATGATTTCCGCGGTGCAACTACTGAGAAGCTTCTTCAAAGCAATTGGATCGTTCAAGTCCGACGCCGCGTGCTGAGTCCCGTCGACGTTGTTGTAGCACCAGATGCCATTGGAACCCACAGAGTTGCTTGTGGTGATGCCAAACGAATACCGATCAGAATACTCGTGCGCAAAGTCTCTGTAATGAGCATTGATGCTCTCGCTCTCGCCTTGCAGCTTAGCGATGAATACAAAGTCGTCGCCGGCGGAAAAGTCCGCGAGTTGCTGCCCAGGGACATCCTGTACGGATGGTTTGAGAGCGCGCTTCACGAAAGCTTCGATACTGTTCACGACTCTCATTGGTTAGGTCATCTATACTGAGCAGGCGAGATTATTAGAGGGATGAAACGTGTTAGACTCACGATGCGGCCCGACGAGGACCTCGATATCGTGTCATTGATCCATCCTTATGGTAGAGACGAATGGCGGGAAAGGAGACGACGTCCATCTCTTGACAGAATTTAGGGCTGGACGGACAGTCGATGACAGAGGTGGAAGCGACGTTTTGCTGGACCGTTTCCCATTCTTTCAATACGCTTTTACTGGAGTCTCTGTTGTTTTCATTATAATCAGTGGCAGAGTTAGATGACTGATTCTGGTGACAACTCACAGCTGGGGCTATGAGAAGGCGTTCTATTGTCAGCTCCTCTTCTAGATGTAAAAATAAGACCAGCTTCTCTTACAGCAACAACTGGAAGCTACTATCAGTAACTAGATCTCTTGAGAGTAGAATGATGCAGGAGACTTGTTATTATCTTTCACTTACAAGCAAGCAAAGTGTACTCATTCCCCGCGAGAAGCTTCCTCACTTGCGCCGGGTCGCTGAATTGAGAGGCGCACACGATATGTGTGGCTAAAAGCCCACAGGCATAGATGCTCGTCAAACTCGGCATCATCATTAGAGAAGGCGCAGAAAAGGCGCAGAAATAATACTATATCGCCAATTATGAGGAAGAAATGATTAGAAGTTGAGAGTAGACTCTGTTCTCTTTTGCTACTTGTTGAAATCGAATGATGGAACATGGGAGTCCCCCTCCCAATATCACGAGTAATGCATGTCAGATCTCCGCTCAAGAAACAGGGGTCACTCGAAACGACGGGGCCAAATCGCAATCGTCAGTCTTGCGCATCGACGGCACGCCTCCGTGTTTCAACGGTTTGTTTGAGATTACGGAGGTATCGAAAGTGACCTTGAACGTCGGGAACGGCCTCAGGTTGTGAGAACCTGGGCGGTAGCTCACCTTCTTCGCCTTACAACTGTATCCATCTCAATTTGCTACACCCATCACCGACTAAACGCCATGTATTATTCACAGAGCCTCGTCCGCTGGCTGGCCGCCATGGCCGTCGGCATGGGAGTCGTCTTGGGTGCGAGTGATGATGCGTCGCAGAAGAGGCTGGATGGCTATGAATGCGCGCATCCGCCGTATAAAATGCACCTTTTGAGCAAATCGCCCATGGTGATTTACATTGAAGACTTCATCACCGACGAGGAGCGGCTGCACTTGCAAAAGATTGCGTGAGTCTCATCAACTGCTTGTGTCAGAACAACTGCTTGTGTCAGAAACATACCAGACCTCAGGTAGATGGGTACTGAGCAATCCTTCACAGAGACGGCCACTTCAAGCATTCAGCAGTCGTCAAAGGCGGCAACTCGGCCATCCACTCCGTCCGCACCTCCCAGTCCACCACCGTCGACCGCGACGCCGTCGTGCGCTGCATCGAGGCCCGCGCCCTCGACTTCCAGGGCTTTGACGTGCCCGAGTCGCACCTGGAGCCCATCCAGCTGGTCAAGTACGCCGTCACGGAGCGCTACCACTTCCACACCGACTGGTTCACCGACCCCTCGCACGCGGCGGCGTCGCTGGGCGGCAACCGCATCAGCTCCTTCTTCGGCTACGTCAAGGCCGACAACGTCACCGGCGGCGGAACCAACTTCCCCGTCCTCGACGCCCCCCGGGATGAGCGGTGGTGCAAGTTCATCGACTGCGATGAGGAGTACGACTCGGGGGTGACGTTTCGGCCGATTGAAGGCAATGTCGTGTACTGGGAGAATCTGCTGCCGGATGGGAGGGGGGACCAGAGGACGCTGCATGCGGGACTGCCGGTGGTCAGCGGGGAGAAGATTGGGATGAATATCTGGACGAGGCAGATGCCGCTTGCTGCGGATATCCGGGGGGCTTGAAGGTCTCGGGCTTGAAGGAATCCGATTTGATTTACCTATGATAAAGAGAAGGTGGTATGACCAAGGATCCGAGAGAGCAAGAAGCACCTTAGCAGACCAAATCTGAGGAAGCCGCTCATCATATGATCACTTAGGCAACCAGGGAGACACATTCGCATCGTTTTGAAAGTGTCGGGCTTCTTCTCCTTCACTCGAAGCCATTCAGATAGCAGCTATAGCATCATCGTCATCACTCGTTCTACTAGCAATTTCAGCAATACCTGCAGCTTTCTTGAGTACACAGCCATCGTATCATCTCTTTACTCTCTTTTTGAGGCACCGTCTCACGCACTAAGCATACTCACTCCCTCTACAACACCAACCATGTGTCGAACTACGCCCACCGACGCCGCCTCAACTCTGCTCCCCGATGGCATCGCCGCCGTGACCACTTTCTGCCAAAACCTCTGTCATCGCGGAATGGACCTGACCGAATACAAGAAAAGGGGTTTCGACCCCAGGCCTTACATGATTGGCGCTTTTGCTGGTATCTTCTTCGGAGTCCTCGTTGGCAGGTGGCTCTGCAACGTCATGGACAGTTAGTGTAAGTACCTGATCTACCTTGGTGGAGAGGGGAGGAGAGAGCGTGCGAGGCCGAGCTGCGAGATATTGATAGCCGTCGATCGGCGTTGCAGGTAGTCCGGTGCAGCGAAGTGAGAGCACTCCCGCCGCGGCGCCTCCGATCCCTCTCCAGGTGTATGGCAACGCTATGTATGGTGTCACAGGCAATGAGGCCAACGCTGTGTATGGTGTCACAGACAATGAGGCCAATGCGCCGGCCGAAGGAGAGGAGCAAGACGATGAGAATGAGGAGCGTCAGTCCGTGCTGGATATCACGTCTCTGTTTCGACAATCCGTGGACAGCAGAGCAGAGACGGCATATGAGGGCGAAGGTTCTGGCAACCACTCGGCAGATGCAGCGTCTGTGAATCAGAATCCATTGGGCAATCCGAGGCGCAATTCGACAGGCAGTTCGACGGGCAATTCGACGGGCAATTCGACGGGCAATTCGACGGGCAATTCGACGGGCAATTCGACGGGCAATTCAACAGGCACAGGATATGCGGCCAATCCAGACATGGTGGCTGACATGGCATGAGGAAAGACCCCGTGAAGGCAATGAAATGCTCTGTCTATTTATCACGGCATTAGTTGGATCTCTGGGTGCCGCTGGAGCTCGGGGCCGTTATTTTGAACTTGGTGATCTTGGAGATGCGGCGTCTGGAGGGCTGCAGGTTTAGCGATATGATTTTCCCCGAGGTACGGTAACAATACTGTCAAGCGATGCTTCAGACTGCCATCTTTTTCTTGAAAAGCTTTGCGCAGGTAGTTACTCCTAGATTAATACAGAACAGCGTTTATTTGAGATGAGGGAATGAAATGAATGGAGTCCGTGTACTCCGTGATCCAGTTCTTGGTGTCTTGTCCTCGATATGCGCCATCACGTGACCACGCGCAACGACAACGACCGTCTCTGCCACGCCTCGTGGCCCAGCAAAACGGCACCACGCATCTTGATCATGGCCTGACAATGGACGTCGCCCGCGGCTCCAGACGAACGCGCCATGCAGCCTCGGCAGCCTCCAGCCAGGAGGCCCAGGCTCAGGCCCAGGCCCAGCTCGAGCTCGAGGCCGCGACGCAGCGGCGCCGGAACCGCAGGCAGGCGCTGCAGGTCCAGGTGACGCCCGATGCCGCCATCGCCGTGGCCGCGGCTGCGGATGCGGGAGCGCATCAGACGCCCGAGTTTGGCCACAGGAGGCGCGAGATGGGGCCGCCGCCGAATCCCTTTCGACTGCACAGATGTGAGTGTTGATTTGAGCTTCTTTTTTTTTTTTTGTATTAGACTTTGCATTTTTTGAAGAAACGAGGAGGGCAGAAGTGAGGGTGTTTATGTGATCAACTGGTGTTGAAGAAGATGTGTGGCATGCACGTGTAATGACGGAGCAGCTGTTCACTTTGAGCTCGCTTCTTGATGAGCACGTTTTCTCGCTTTTCCTTCTTTTTCCCGGGTCTGCCATTCCTTTCCTCTTCTTCTTTTTTCCCTTCTTCATTCTTTTTCACTCAGGTCCGCTTCTGCTAAATTGTCTCTCACTCCATCTTTCTCTCCTTACTGTCACTCCACACACTTGTATATCCATTCAGTCACTCATTAATCTACTCATTTGCCTGCCTATTTTCAGCGTTCATTCGTTGATTGATTCATTGATCCTCCTATTCTATTCTATTATATTTGATTCTCTCCTTTCTTGCATTGCCTTCACTTCCCCCCTATTCTTTCTTTCAATCTCTGTCAATCAATCATTCATTCATTGCACTCTACAATCAACGGCAGCAGCTCTGCAGCAACAATAGCCATTCATTTGCATTCACCACCAGGCGGAGTCGCCCTTCCACTCGTTTCCACCATGTCTCTTGCGCAGCTTCCTCTCCGCGCTCGAGAACAAGTGCCCCAGGAGAACTTGCCCTCCACCGAGGTTTTTGGCCTTTCCAACCGCCCAACTGGAAGCAATCGCCGCCCCCTCCAGCCGCTTTCCATTTCCTCCCACGGCACTATCCTCAACCGCCGAGAATCGGTCCTCAGGCAGTTGCCCTCTCCGGACAAGGAGAACAGCGATGCCCTTGTGCAGGCAGCTTTTCACCGAGTGGCGCATCGAACCAGAGAGGTCAAGCGACTTTCACTCGTCCATTCGCCTTTGCAATCGTTCCAGCAGAAAAAGCGCCGCCAGAGACAACGCACAACACGCACTCGAGTCCTCCCATCCACTGTCGCTAACATGATATCAGCCACGCGGAGAACTACCAACAATCGCCTGAGTCTGCAGTTTGACACCGATGATGGCTCCGGCACTGCGTCTGGTTCCGGCTCAGACTCGGAGCCGGATCTCAGTCATTTGGGAATGACGAGGCGAGGCATGGCAGCCGTGCTGGAACAGCAGGCCGCCCAGATGACGTACGACGACGACGCCATGTCTCAGGGCCAGTACGATGCCGAGGAAGCGAGCCTCGATGAGAATCTCGACGAAAATCTTGATGAAAACGACGAGGAGAACGTCGACGACCAGATCGAAGGGGAACAGGAGCCTCTCGCAATGATGGACCCGGGTGTCTTTGGCCTCAAAGAAATTTCCAACCTGGGAAAGTTTACCGTGAGCAGTCATAAACCAGGCAATGGGGTTGAGCAGCTCCGGAGCGATGACCTCACCTCATACTGGCAGTAAGTGTCTATCCTCCCTCTTTTTGGGGCTCAAATCCCTTTCCTTCTTGGACCGTTTCTGATATGCTTTGCTTCTAGATCAGATGGCCCGCAGCCTCACAAACTCACCATCTACTTTGTCAAGAGAGTGGGCATCCGAGACATTCGCTTTTACGTCAACTACAACGAGGATGAGTCATATACACCCACCAAAATCATCTTCAAGTCTGGTACGAGCGAGAACAATCTCATCCAGTTCGCCGCCATGAACCTCGCGAGCCCCGTGGGCTGGCAACAAGTGCCTCTCGCAGGAGTTGGCGGTGAGCCTGACGGTAACACCCTGGTGTCTTGGGTGCTGCAGATGCAAATTCTGGAGAATCACCAGAACGGCAAGGACACGCATCTACGAGGCATCAAAATCTACGCCTTCGACGCCGACGCTGTCCAACAATCCGACCCGGAAAATTCTCGCTTGGAGGATTTGATGGATACAGCTGCAGTTGCCGGAAGCCGCCGTAGGGCTTCTGGGAATCCCAGACTGGACGAGATTGCGCAAACTCTGGCTGCGGCCAGACTCGAGGCGGGCGACTCTGGCTTTACCCTCCCTGACTTCATGAGAGATCCGGAGATTCGATGAAGATCTGAATGCACAGTGGAGCAATGGCTTAAGGATACGATAATGATGTTTGGTCTGCATTTGGCTTGGCACAACACACAAAAGTTATGGACGAGATGTCACGAATAACGGAATACTACAAAAGCACTTGAAACTGATGTGGTCCTGGAAGGACTAGACATGGATATGGAGTTTAGAACGAGAACATGTAGCTATCAATACTAATCACTGTCTGCCTTGTTGTTTTCTTGGCACTCCCTACTCGTTCAGCCACCACCGCGGAGATGAGAGGAGCAACGTGCCAGCTTCGCCACGATTTTCTCACGGCATCTTGTCAGCCTACCGAGCTTGCCAAGCAGTCGTGAGGCAGGGCGCAGGCGGAGGAGGCATCTCGTGTGGGTCTCTGATGTCAATGTCGAGTTGGAGTATGAGGCTCAAGGGGGGGAATGCCTGATGGACAAAGCGCATACGATGTAGGAGTACTAGCCTAGGCTTGTCGTTCATCTGCCGATCAGGGTTCTTGGCGTTGACATCAATCTTCCAGATAACTGATCAATTGCTTTTATGCTTGCGTTTACGGTTTATGTGTTATTAGAACTAGCAATCCTCCTCGGCGGCTACTTGAGGAGATTGCCGCCAAGCATTGAGGATATAGACCATTTGACCACCTCAGCTGTGTTATATAGACGCAAGCAAGCACTAGTGAGGCACCGTCTGCGTGGCGTGAACGTTGGTACAGAGCAGAATGCCTTTGTTTACTGCGCCAGCTGCGGTAGCCAGGGGGGATATAGGCAACCCGGCAGATGTATTGGAGATCTTTCGTTGGATGGTGAAAAGGGGAGGCGTTTACAGGCGAGCGGCTACAGTGCTTTACCAAGTGAGTGATTTCCAGACCGATATTGGGCAAATAGGTTGATATTGTGGCTCTGTCGAGCGAAGGATTGGATGGCGAATGGGGCGGCTAGCCAACGATTTGAACATGTCAAGTCCAGCCCCAAGCTGGCGCAGTTTGAAAGGGATGGCAAAAAATATCGGGTTCAAAGGCGCCAAAACGCGGATATAGAAGGGATTTTGGCACATGATCGACCAGGACGTTAGGCAAAAGGAAAACGCCAAAACGCCTAGAAGCTTTCTGGAAGAGAAGCCCGGCAGCCGGAGCAAATCGCCGCTGGCTCAGCAATCATGGATTGGGATGGGCTTGAAATCGGGGTCGGGGTCGGGGTGTTTCTGGCCTGTTAGTTGACCCGGTTTCCTTTTGGTACGTGAGGGAGGGTGTCAGCGCTTGCGTTCGGCTTGAGTGGCCAAGCGTCGATGCTAAGAAATGGCAGTTTTTTCTTTTTTTTTTGGTAACTCTTCTTCTCGATTGTTTGATCGAATTGGACCACGTGCCGGCCGCAGCGGTGAGTGCTTTCATGATTTGGCTGAAACTGGTTATGATGCTTGGCCGTGAGATGGAGTTTGCCAAGCTGGAAACAATGTGGCAGTGCTGGAGTCGGTAAACGTCCCTTTGCATGTTAAAGTTGTTGCCTGCCTGCTGTTTTTGGCAGTTGGCCATGAGGATCTGGCCAAGATGCCTGTTGAATGGGGTGCTGGGGGCGTCGATACGCAAAATACGGGCCATCAGGTCGGTCTAAGTGCAGCGTCTAGAAGCTTTTGGGTGCATGAGGCTGTCTTCGATCGTGCCCAACTCAACTCCACCATGTGATCTCTGATTTGCATTGAACCTCGGCAGGTACTCTGTACAAAGGCACTGCTAGCCATCGGTTAGTCTCCGTCATTGCCCGTCGAGAGCAGCCCCAGTCGTCATTCGGTCGATGGGACAAAGGGTCCATTTCCCAAAGTGAGGCTTTCTCGATGGACGACCCCGTCTGGACCGCCCTGATCTAGGGTAAATCGGCTTGATGGCGCAGTTTTGTAGTCGTGATGCGCGTATTAATGAGCTGCCCAATGGATTTAAGCCCTTTCTTGGGCCAGTCGACATGATTATGGATCCGATTTCGTGCGTGCAAGTGAGAAGATGGGTGGCGGGAGTCAGCCATAGTTTGAGGACGGAAGCAAGAAACAGAGATGGTTCTGGTGGTTCGAAACGAAGCGTGTTTCGCAGTTCGTGAAATTCGTGCTTGTCGGCGTCGAAACCGACCGGATCGATCAATAACGTCACACCATTGAGCCCGCCGCTGTAGCTCTTCGAAACTAGAAGTGACCTATCAAGCTAGAGTAAAGTAGAGGCGAGGATTAAGAGAAGACAAGAAGAGGGTGTCGATGCAACTTGGAGGCTTCCACTCAAGGGGACCCTGTTGGCACTCGACCTCCGCTTTTCCCGCCTCCCCGCACGGCGATGCGGTGCCGAGTGTGGATTCTCCACTCGCATCGAGGTGCCATGATTAATCGGCTGTTGCCTCTTTCGAGCGCCCTCACTGAAGTAATACCTCAGAAGCATTGGATTCGACCTGATGGAGATGATGATGATGAGACGTGAGGAAGCGGTGCTTGTACTGTACTGCTGTTGCGGCGCTAATGGGAGAACTCAGCACTACGGGGATTAGAGCAACTGCAGGTGTGTGTGTATGACAGCAAGTGAGACATGTCTACAATACAAACAATTATAGAGGACAACAAAGCTTCTCTTCCCTCGACCAGATCGGTGAGTGCTGGACAGGCCAGGTGATGTGATGAGGAGGCTGTGCAGAAGCTCCCGAGTCTTTTAGCCCATGTACCGAGTACTAGCAGCACCTTGCAGCTCCTGCCTCCAATAAGCTCAGAGTGCCTTGGGGGAGCTTCATCCGTGCTGCTTCCTGCCGATTGTTTCCACTGGGACGAGCCTTCCTCCCTTCACTCCCACACCTCCCACACCTCCCCAATCTGGCGATTTCCTGACGTCGTCGCGCTATTCTTGCAGGAACTCGGCGCATGTCCTTTCCTCATATAAGATGCGCTCAACCACCGCGAAGCTACTTGCCCTCCCTCTGCCTCCTCTTTTCCCCTCAGTGCTTCTCTCCCACCTAACTGGATAGGCAGCATCTCTATAGCAACTTCCAGTTTACTTTTCCTTTATTTTTGCCGTTCTGGGCTTTCTAGCAGCAACTGAAGTAGCAAGCTGTGTTGCTGTCGCGTCGGTAGCTGCTGCTTATTCCTCAAGTACTACCCAGTAGTCTGACTTGGTTCATTCTTCACGCTCGCCATCTACACCTCGGCTTGTGTCGCCACTCCAACCACCCAGAACCGCAACCATGTCTGTCCCAAACGGCGCTGGCCACAGCAGTTCCTCCAAGGCTACTGACCACGATGGAACCAATGTTCCCGGCTTTCAGCCCCAGAACAAGATGACGGTCCAGCCCCCGAGAAACGAGGATCTCCAAGTCAGCTATGCCGCTGAAATCGGGGGCGAGGCCAACCCAAAGGGCTGGTATGGCAGCATGAGTATGTCGTCGACACTCCCTTGATCTGCCTTACTGTAGATGCCTCTTCCTTTTCTAACCCTCACACTCGTTAGTCAATTCTCTCGGCGCGTGTATCGGAACAATGGGTGCCATTCCTTGCTGTATACTTTGCCCCAACCCGTATAAGCACGTCAACCAAGGCCATGTCGGCCTCGTCACCAAATTCGGTCGATTCTACAAGGCCGTAGATCCCGGTTTGGTCAAAGTCAACCCCCTCAGCGAGAGACTCATTTCGGTTGATGTCAAGATACAAATTGCGGAGGTCCCTGAGCAGACATGCATGACCAAGGACAATGTCACTTTGCGCCTGACATCCGTCATCTACTACCACATTGTGTCTCCTCACAAGGCCGCTTTTGGTATCTCCAACGTCCGCCAGGCTCTCGTTGAGCGTACTCAGACTACTCTGCGCCACGTCGTTGGTGCTCGCGTTCTCCAGGATGTAATCGAGCGTCGCGAGGAGATTGCACAGTCTATCGGGGAGATCATTGAAGATGTTGCTGCCGGTTGGGGTGTTCAGGTCGAGAGCATGCTTATCAAAGACATTGTTTTCAGTCAGGACCTGCAAGACTCGCTTTCAATGGCTGCTCAGAGCAAGCGAATTGGTGAAAGCAAGATCATCGCCGCCAAGGCCGAGGTAAGATTTCAAAACAGCTGGTCGCACTCGATTGCTATAAGAGTGTCCTTGATGTTTAGACAAGAAGAATGGGAACTGACGATACTGTTTCTTCCAGGTCGAATCGGCTAAATTGATGCGTCAAGCCGCCGATATTCTGAGTTCTGCTCCTGCCATGCAGATTCGCTACCTCGAGGCTATGCAAGCCATGGCCAAGTCCGCCAACAGCAAGGTCATCTTCCTGCCTGGAAACACTCAAGCTTTCAGTAGCGCTGCCATGAATGCCGCTCTGAATGACGGCCAGTCCGGTGAAGGCAGTGGCAGCACTGCCGTCAATGCCCGCGACTTTGGAGGTCAGGAAAATTTCCAACAAGCCTTGAACGCTCGCATGGTGGAAAACTTCTAGGGCCGCTATATGGATGAGGGCTTGCTGCTAACTCTTCGAGTTGCTTTGGGGACTTAGCGTGGTCTACTTGATTTCGAGAAGCGACATTCCCCATGCCATATCCTGCTCATTCACGTCTCAGGATTCTCGTTTATCGGAGACTCCTCACTATGGCTGCCTCGCTTTGCATCTACGACAGCGGCCCTTGTCTTGTTCCGAATCTGTCGCTGCACTCGCTTTTCTGCACATCGCTTTTGATCTTTACGCTCGTTATGATGGATTTTGTAATACTTTTGATACCAAGTGAGGTTGGGAGTGGATCTTGGGGAGGGAGAGGCGACCATTTGATACGGATGATACCCAAGATACCCAGGAGAATTATAGCAGACGGTTAAGACATGTCTTTAATAACAAAGTTTAATTGAAAAGGTTATTGATATGCTCTGTATCACAGAGAAAAGAATCATCTTGACTGCTTTGAATTTACGGGGAAAACTTTTTGTCTATTACTGAACAGCCTCACTTAGCTAGTTAAACATCATCGTCATGGATCAAGAACGGGTTTATTGAGGACCTTGGTAGCAAATTGCTTGAAACCTGCACCGCCATGTCTCTCAATAACCTCCTCCCCCCTGCCGCACATCACTGACGGCAGCTCAACGTAAAAAACCAGTAAAAAGAGAAAACAACGGCAGTTATAGAAAACAAGAGACCAAGCCACGCCTGTACCAGAAAAGATTTGATTTCCCTCCCCCAACGCCAGCCATAGTAACATGTGACAGATTAGCCCGGAAGCCTCTCGGAAGAAGTCTCATCAGATATTTTTGAATATATATCTGCCATGACCACCTCATGGGTAGTCTATGAGACCATCCAATCCAAGCCTAATGCGGGCCTTGACCTTCTTTGCAGATAGCCGAGAAAAAACGGTATTTTCAGTCCTTTTTTTTTGTCCTTTTTTCTTTCTTTCTTCTGTCCTCATCTCCTCAAGTGTTTTTGCGTGAACCCAGAACGCGATGGTCTTCACCGAATGGTATTTGTGCGGATGTGTGGTAGGGTATGTACGTGGAAAAAACAACATCCTTTTTCAGGTGGTTCGGCGCTTCTTCTTTGAGGATTCCTAGGCAGCAGTAGAGTCGCGCTTCTTCTTCTTCTTGTCCTTCTTGGCGGACTCGGGGGCCTCGCCGTTCTCTTCGGCCTTTCTCTTCTTCTTCTTCTCAGACGTGGCGTCGGCGGGCTTGTCGCTGCTCTTGACGGGCGTGGAGGCGGCGGCGGCCTCTTCGGCCTTGCGGAGCTTCTTCAGCTCCTTCTTGCTGAAGACCTTGGGGTTGCCGTCGGGGCCGAGCTGGATGTCGCCGCGCTCGTACTTTCGCTTGAACTTCTTGACGGAGAGGCCGGCGGCCTCGGCCAGGCGCTCGTACTCCTCGCTCGAGAGCTTCTTCACCGACTTGCCAGAGGGCTCATCGGAGTCATCGTCGGAGTCCTCAGGGGCGTCTTCCATATCGACGTCCTGCTCCTCGACAACCTGGATCTTGGCCTTCTTGGCCTTCTTGCTCTTGGGGGCGGGCTCCTCATCGGCGTCGCCCATGACGTGGTCGGTGACACCATCGGCATCGGCGCCGTATCGGCTGGTGTCCTTGAGAGAGAAGGGGCCGGCAGAGATGATTTCACCGGAGGGAGTCACGTTGGTGCCCTTGGGCAGAGGGGCCTTGCCCTCGAGTCTGCGCAGGTGGTTCTCGAGCTTGATTCGGCTGGTGAGGCCAAGGATAGCGCGCTGCTCATCATCCTCTTCCTCATCATCGCCAAGAGCATCCACACGCAGACCCAGGGCGACCTTGGCAGACAGCATACGGGCAATCTTGCCCTTGTTCTTGCCAGTGGCCTGGCCAACGAGAGAGGAGTGGTACATGATACCGTACTTGGGGGTGTCCTTCTTCGTCTTGAGAGCTCGGAACAGGGCCTTCTCGGCACCGAGAATCTGGATGGTGGAACCGGGGGCCTTGGCCAGGCTGAGGACGGAACCGGCGTGAGCGATGAGCCTGGCACCGACCAAGTAGCCCACCAGAGCAGTCAGGTTGGGGGCAATGGCGCGCATTCGGCTCTCCAGGTAAGACGTCAGCTGAGCCCGGTACTCGGTAAACTTAATAACCTGATCCGCGAGGTCAATGGCGTTCTTCAAATCATCCTCGGTAATCTCGACACCCATGCTGAGCTCGGCATTCGCCTTCAGGGCAGCCTCAACGTCCTCGGGCAGAATGTCAGAAAGGTCGGCATCCTTGAAGTTGTCTCGCATGCCAACAGCACGAACGACACGGGCGTAGGCCAGGTTGTCGTTGAGGGTCTTGGCCATCTCGGGGAAGTGCCATCCGTACCACTCCTTTGTCCTCATGGCGTAGACGTTGAGCTCCTTGTCGATGTCGTCAAGCATCTTGATAGCCTGGATGATCATGGAGTCCACCTTATCAGGCGAGAACTTGAGCTTGTGTCGGGACATTGAGTGCGAAAGACCAAGGCTCATGCGGTCAAGCACGTCCTGCTCGAGGCCGGGGATAAGAGACGAAACATGTTCGCGAACGGCTCGGAAAAGGTCCATTGTGTTGGAGCCAGCCACGGGCGTGATGTTGAGGCTGGGCATGTTGGAAATGGCAGTGCCCAACTTGAGATCGGCGACAGCCAGGGAAGCCTTCTTCTCGGCCTGCAGGTCCTCCAAGAGAGAGCTCAGCAGGGGAGGAATCTGGCCCTGGCTAACGGCGGCGGCCTCCTCCAAGGCCATGGCGGCGCTGTCGAACTTGACAAATTTCTTGAGCTTCAGCCTGTACGCGACGGTTCATTAGTCCAATTCGGTCCTCACAAGCCAAGAAACTTGGCGATTTTGGTCTTGAAAGAACTTGTGGAATTGGGGAAGCAAAGCTTACATCTCGACGAGGCGCTCCGGCTTTCCGAGCTCAGCAGCGAGGTCGGCGTTCTTGAGCATCTTCTTGTCGGTCGCCTTGAGCAGGCCATAGCTGCGATTCTGTCAGCAACAATGTTCGACACTTGCCACGCGATCAACGCTGATTCTGCAGCAACTGCGCAATGGACGCTTCGCTTCGGGATTCGAGTACTGACCCTGCGGGCGTCTCGGCGAGAACAAAGAGCGACATGATGGCTGGATGGACTGGGACGCTCTCTAGGACTCTTTCGCTTGTCGATTGAGTTCCGTCGTCTTCCCGGGTCCCAATTGGCGGCGGTTGTGTGCGTGAGGATTTCAGGGAAGAAGCCGCCTCGAAATTTTGGATTTTGGAAATTTTTCAGGCGAAGCTTGAGATCCACTCAAAATTTTTGGCCTTGCATTGGAGCTAATGCGTCTGCGTGGGAGGGGCCTGTCGGCGGCCGGCGCTACTGATAGTCCGGGCCTCTGACTTCAGGTTCCCTTTCGCTTTGGTTCTCTACAGTACGAGTACGTACCTACTTGGTCGTCCAACCACTCACGTGCAGGCTGCGTCAAACTGTACCTTGAAATCACGCCTCGCCCCGGCCTTGCAGAAGTAGGTCCGAGATCCGTTACGATCCTCCTGCTGGAACTTCGCAGCTCCGTCATTCAGTCAATCCCGCCCTGATTCCGTCCGTCTGCACGCTCGCTTCATCCTCAAGCTCGTCTTCCACCATAACCCTGAGGATCTTCAGACCGAAGCCACGATGGAGGGTCTCTTATTCAACGTGAACAATGGGTGAGCAGCTTGTGAAACGTCACGCCTTGGACTGTAACTGACGGGGGGCCACGCAGCTACGTCGAGGGCATTGTTCGCGGCTATCGCAATGGCCTCCTGACGACGCCAGCCTACAGCAATCTGACACAATGCGAGACGATCGATGGTACGTCTGCGTTATCAACAAAAGTAGCTACAGATTGATTGACGTCCGCAGACCTGAAGCTGCAGCTCGGCCCTGCCTACGGCGACTTCCTCGCATCCCTCCCCCCAAACCCGTCAACATCTGCGCTCGCCGCCAAGACGACAGACAAGCTCATCTCGGAGTTCCGATACGTGCGCGCTAATGCTACGGGCTCCTTGGCCACCTTCATGGACTACGTGACGTACGGCTACATGATTGACAACGTCGCCCTCCTCATCACCGGCACCCTTCACGAGCGAGACACGCGCGAGCTCCTGGATCGATGCCACCCGCTGGGATGGTTCGAGACCATGCCCGTCCTTTGTGTCGCGACCAACGTGGAGGAGCTTTACAACAGCGTGCTGATCGAGACTCCGCTTGCCCCATACTTCAAGGGCAGCTTGAGCCACCAGGACCTGGATGAGCTCAACATCGAGATCGTCCGCAACACTCTGTACAAGAACTACCTCGAGGACTTTTACAAGTTCGTCAATACTCATCCCGAGATGGCTGGCACGCCCACGGCTGAGGTCATGTCCAACATCCTGGAGTTTGAGGCCGACCGCCGAGCCATCAACATTACTCTCAACTCCTTCGGCACCGAGCTGACCAAGCAAGACCGCAACAAGCTGTACCCGACCTTTGGAAAGCTGTATCCCGAGGGCACCCTGATGCTCTCCAGAGCAGATGACGTCGAGGGTGTTCGCCTTGCCGTGGATGGTGTCCACGACTACAAGACTTTCTTCGATGCCGTGTCCTTGGGTGGCTCATCCGGTCCCGGTAACATGGGCGGTGGCTCTGCTGATGGCAAGAGCCTGGAGGACATGTTCTACCAGAAGGAAATGGAGATTTCCAAGGATGCCTTCACACGGCAATTTACCTATGCCATTATCTACGCCTGGGTTAAGCTTAGAGAGCAGGTAAGCAACCGGTCACAGTTTGTGAAGGAGCTACAAACCGAAGAACAAAGAAATCGAACGAGTGACAGTCCGCTAACTCGCTACAGGAAATTCGCAACATCACATGGATCGCTGAGTGCATAGCTCAAAACCAAAAGGACCGCATTGGAAACTTTATCAGTGTCTTCTAAGCGGTCTCATAGACTGATGGTGTTGTCTTTGGCAGTTCGCAGGTTTGGGAGTCCTCATGGAGTAATAATACGTTTTGTTTTGTTCTGTTTCGTTTCGAGTAATTGCACGGGAAAGGTTCGTTCAGACTAGGCGCATATGGAAGAGGCGAATGATTGACAGCGGCAATTACGCATCCTCTGATGGGCTCTATTGTACATATACAGATGCTTAGCTATTCCTACAAGAATTTTCTCTTGGTTGCTTTTCTTTATTTATGTCTTTCATGTCGTCACCATCCTCACAGATCGATCTGTCCCTTCCACGTCGCCGGAGTGAGACCCAGCTTCTCAAGCATGTTTGTCCACCTCTCACTGCCCCTCTCCTTACGCTCCATGTACTGCAGCAACTTCTGGCGCCGGTGTACAAGCAACCTCAGGTTCCTCTTGTTGTGCTTGTCTTTGTAGCCTCGGTTGATCGCCAGCGCCTCTGACAACGACCTGATCTTGGCCGTCAGGATGGCAATCTGCACCTCGGAGCTGCCAGTGTCGGGACCGGCACGTCCTGGCATCGGCGTTGTGTTGGGCGAGATGGACTGCGGCTTGGGCTTGAGGTGCTTATCCGTGTTGTGGCGCCCAAACTCGTCGATGATGCGCCGGACGTTGGCGTGGAAGCGGTCCCGCGCGCTGCCGTTGCTCAGGGACGTGATCCTCCGCAGGGCCTCGACGGCTTTCTGGTGCTTCTGGGTGTGTGCCTGCTTCCTCTCCTCCTCCGTGGTGGGGTCCATTTGCGATCCAACGACTCCGACCATGGGCTTCGTCAGGGCGTAGGCGTGCTTGACGGCATCCTCGAGCTCGGCGTCGGTGAGGAAGTGGTTGCGCAGGCCGGGCGTCGTGGGCAGCTCCCTGGCCTCCTCGAGGGGGTTCCCGCTCGCGTCCTTACGCACTGCGCTCACCGGGCTCTGGCCTGCCGAGTCCAGGGACTCGAGGAACGGCGTCGTCCTGCCCCGGACGGGGTCGCCCCATGCCTCGTCCCGCTGCTTCTGGAGCTCCTCCTGTCGCTTGAGGTTGGCGGCTTTGCGCTGCTGGGCCTGCGCCCACTTGTAGGGGTCCTGCTTCGCCTTCTTCTTCTTCTCGCGAAGGGAGAGATTGGCCTTTTGGACGAGCGGGAGGAAGGCCTGTGTCGTTGGTGTCGTTGACGGTCGTAGGCACACTGATAAGTCTCGGTTAGCGACATGATTTCCCCTTTGACTGCTGTACGGTTCTGGTTCTCAGGATAGCAATGGGGAGCCTATCGTACAATTGACTGTGCCTAGCCGTTGTAACAGATCTATTCTGGGCGGCATCGTTGCTGGATGAAGTTGCTGTTATCGCTCCATCAATCCCATCCCGCCTTTGCGACTCAAAATTTCGCCGATAGTACAACTGATCATCCCACGCTTCTAACGGACCTGCTGACTAACACGCACCGCTCCACTGCTCTGGAGGAAGAACTTGATCTTAGCATCTTAGTCATCGAGCTCACGTGCATCTCCAGACCCTCTCAAGAACCTCAAGAAACTAGCGAAAGCAGCCTAGTCCCTTTCCATGCTAGCGCCTTCAGGGCTGCGGCACACACATTTTTGGAAATTTACAACACTTTAGCCCTCGCGAACTTTTGCGAAACCTCCTCTGGCACGATCTTCGTCAACCGAGCCATATCTTGCCTCCTTCAACCGCCCAGATTCCCGCCCCCATCACGAAGGAAAATTCAATCCAGTCAAGATGGCTCCCGCTAACCTGCCCTCCATCTTCAATGCCACGTCCCAGGACATCGAGATGCTCCTGGCGGCGCAGTGCCACCTCGGTTCCAAGAACCTGCAGGTGCACATGGAGCCTTACCTGTGGAAGACCCGTGTCGATGGTGTCAACGTGATCAACATTGGCAAGACCTGGTGCGTTTATTCTGGTTGTGGAGGAAAGAGAGGGCTTTCTGGAGATTCTGGGAGCGAAAGACGAGAGAGAGTCTTTGTGGAATTCTGGGGAGGGGGAAAACTCGACATGATCGAACAATGAGAAAAACTAACAAGTTCGTTCTACAGGGAGAAGATTGTCCTGGCCGCCCGCATCATCGTCGCCATCGAGAACCCGGCCGACATCTGCGTCATCTCCGCCCGTCCCTACGGTCAGCGCGCCGTCCTCAAGTTCGCCGCCCACACCGGCGCCTCCCCCATCGCCGGCCGCTTCACCCCCGGTAGCTTCACCAACTACATCACCCGCTCCTTCAAGGAGCCGCGCCTGATTGTCGTGACCGACCCACGCACCGACGCCCAGGCCATCAAGGAGGCCAGCTACGTCAACATCCCCGTCATCGCCCTCTGCGACACCGACTCCCCCACCGAGTACGTCGACGTCGCCATCCCCACCAACAACAAGGGTCGCCACGCCATCGGCACCATCTGGTGGCTGCTCGCCCGCGAGGTCCTGCGCCTCCGCGGTACCATCTTCAACCGCGAGACTCCCTGGGACGTCATGGTTGATCTGTACTTCTGTATGTTTTTTTTGCACTCTCTCTCTCTCCCCACACATACTTGGAAAGGCGATGGGAAAGCTAACCACAGTGAAAACAAAAAAGACCGCGACCCTGAGGCCGAGGCCGAGGAGAAGGTCGAGGAGGAGAAGCTCATCACCGCCCCTGAGGAGGAGGTCCCCGTCGCCATCGAGTCCGGCTTCCCCGCCGCCGGCGGTGACTGGGATGCTCCCGCTCCCGGCTTCGCTGGTGCTACCCCCGCCGCCGCTGGCTGGGACGGTGCCGGTGCCGGTGCCGGCCAGGACTGGGCCGCTTCCGGTGGCCAGGAGTGGGCTGCTGAGGCTCCTAAGGACAGCCAGTGGTAAACATCTCCAAAGGGTTATCTGGGAACACATTGGTTGGAGGATGGCGTGATACAGGAGCTTTAAAAACAAAGAGTTACCACGGACTGGTCCAAAATAGGGGAGGCGTTTAATCGAAGCTTTTTTTTGCAGAAGAAGAAACAACATTCGACGGGAGGTCTGGGATTTTTGCTATTTTGGGTCTGAGCTCGCTGTACTTATGAGGGAAAGATACTCTGCCCGCTCCCCTCTATGGTCTCTGAAGGGATATTGGGGGAATGGGAAAGAGGGAAAGCCCTGTACGGCGGCTGGGGGCGTACTTAATCGTTGCCCCGCCCAAATGGTCTTCTTAATTCCTCTTGTGGTTGGTTTTTCGTCCAAAGAAAAGCTGTTATACAGCCGAACATAGTGCAAGACAAATTCGAGAAACAAGATATCCCATCTTCAAATTTCGCTCTCGCATTTGCCTCTTTTGAATCTGGGTATAAGCCCTCTCCCAAGATTATCCTCGAACAATCCATGTATTGCAAAACAATTCGGATAGATCAGTTATTCCTTTGTTCAACCTAAACAAAGCAAACGCAGCCACGTCACACATACAATCAAGTCTATATGCTAATTTGAATTTGTTTGTATTCCTATGAGCAACCCATTTCAGGCGCACATTACCAAGTATAGGTATCTAAGGTATGTATATATATCATCTTCCCAAAGTCTGCATATATACGAGCCGTTGTATCCCTGATACGCTACCATTCCGAGTTTATCCACAATGCCCCCCCCCTCCGGTATTGGTATCTAAAGTTCCCCCTTATTTGTGATATCCCTTCTTTGTACTCCCACGCCAGAAATAAAAGGAACCCTATACAAGAGAAACAACAAGAAGACAAGACGAGACGAGAATAACATAGAAAACAAGAGAAGAAGAATAAGAGAAACCAAAAGGCTGCGAACAGAGTAGTAAAAGTTGTAGCAAGGAAAAGAATTGGCCGGCTGATCAACAGAGGAAAAAGAAATCTCGCCCACGAGTGCGGTGTTACAAGGGTGTCTACATGAAGGCAATAGTATGGTAGTAAGTCGTGATGCCAGCGTTAGCCAGCTATCGAGGGTTCCGTGTTTTTCCCTTTTCCGGGGCTCGAGTTCGTTCGTTAGATGGTATCGTGTATGCAAAATGCCCCTTTGAAGAGACGAAAGCAGAAGAAAGCAAAAAGGGAAAGACGAAGGGATAAACGAGCAGCAAGCAGAAATATGCCACGCTATTACATGCCCGTAGGACGTGTGACAAACGACAAGGCTGTGAAGCTGCCGCCATGTCTGATATGGAATGCGACGCTAAGAAAATGACAAATGGGACGCGTGAGGGCGTGAAGACTTGTGTGTTGTATGTGTGTGTTGAGAGATAAGGGAGGGTATAGGGGTGGCAGTGGGTGGTATCTGCGTGCAGATACCCAGAGCATCATCAAAAGGAAAAGAGAGATGATTATTATCAGCCGGGGCAAACGGTTCGGTGCTTGGGCTACTCCAATGCCTCAGAATGTCGTCGGATCTCATCATCGCTCAATGCGCCCATCCAAAGACAACGTTCCGTTATGCCCTCGACTGGTTGGAAAGTATACCGCGTGCTGGCCTCCAACAGTCTCAACAGCGTCTTGATCACAGACGCCGCAATGCGGCATCGTTCAAAGTTGATGAGGGGCGGGGTGGTCGGCGAGCTGGCAATTTCCGAGGCGCGCTGCGCGTTGAAAAGAAGGTCATGCGTGTAGATGCCGACAAACGGAATGCAGCCTCCGTCTGAGCCAACTTCCATTTCGGCTCGGAGGTTGTAGAAGTTGCGCGTGGGTGTGACAAGAGCCTCGAGTTCGCCGAGCGTGTTCAGGTCGCGAGCTGGAACAAGCTCCCACGTCTTTGAAAGACGGGCAACTTCGGCACTGGACAAGGCAATGGTAAGCTGTGCCAAGGTTGCAAAGTTGCGATACCGCCGACAGTGCGCCGCAATATGGATGAGCTTGATGATACAGCGCGCTCGCTCCTCAATGTGCTGAGTGAGGACAATCTCCGAGATGGCCCACTTGACCATGATATTGAACCGTGCAACGACAACTTCAACTCCATGGGCGTTGGTGTTTCTCAAGAAGTCAACCCACGAGCGAGAGTCGTTGCTGGTGGCGTTCCTCCAATTCATCTCAATCAGTTCCCTCCAGTCTATGTCGTTGAGAGCATCCTTTTCAATGAGCGTGAATTGCTGAGCCAGGATGTCAGAAGGGAATGCTAGAATAAACGGCAGATGAACTGAGTACTTGAGCGTCTTGGGAGTCTCCTCTTCTGATGCTTGTTGCACCGGTGCTTCAGTGTTGTGCGGAGGGTCGTGATCAGGGTTGTGAGAAGTGCCGTGGAATATCTCCGGAGAGAGAGGAAGGGGCTTCTGAGACCATATTTGATCTGGATGCAGAGTCCTCTCGAGATTTGACATCACAGGGCTCATCGTCACCGGACTCATCATCACCGGACTCATCGCCAGTGCTTGAGCGAGCGTCATGGGAGCAGACGACGAGTTTGATCGGGGCGTGCCGAGGGGATCACCGAATGGATGTGGCTGTGATGACATCGAAAAAGCAGCCGCTCTTCCGCTGGTATTGTGCACGCTCTCATCTTCGGAGGGGGAAAGCTCAGAGGAGAGATCCGAGCCGCCGACGCTGGCATCTTCCAGAAAGGACTGGGCATCCACTGGTGGTGGTGGTGGTGGGGTTACCTTTCCTGCCTTGATATTCTCAATACTCTGCGTCTTTTCAACAAAGGCATAGGACAGCTGAGAATCGGAGACTTGGTGGGAGACTTCGTGACCTCTCAAGGCAGCATCTGAAGTAGCGGCATCGTCTTCATCGGATGAGCCACGAAGAACCGATCGATCAGTCCACTCTGACGTACCTCCCCTAGTCTGGCTATCATTCGTAAGACCCCGTTCGAGTAAAGGTATGGAGCAGTATGATTCGTCAGAGTCAGCGGTTAAGAACGAACGCGTCTCGAGGTTGGTTATCTCTGTCCGTGCAATCATGGTGTCCCGGCTGTATGCAGAAGACACCGGCTGCTTTCCTTTATCCTGGGGGGAAGGGCCTCGGGTCTGCTGAGTGCGATAATCATCAGCCATGCTACCTGCTTCACTCCATTGGCTTTTGATTCCGTTGGAATAAGAATCTGCGGCGCCAGCTGTTGTGCCAAATTCGTCCGCGTCTATCATAGCAGTCTGTCTGAACTGGTCAAGCGATTTTGGCTTTGGTTGATATTTGCCCTCCAGCTTTAGCAAGGCCGACTCGATACCACCGTCATCCTCATCGGGTATCTGCGCCAGCTTTCTGGCCTCGATCTCAAACGATGGGCGCATAATAGGCTTGGATGAGTGAGTACTAATCAAAGACAGGTGTCGTTTGGGAGGCTTCCCAGTTAGCTGACCGACAGAAAAGATCTTGTGCCTGTCGCGGGAAAGGCGGTCTTCTACTACTCCAACATAACTACGATCATCATCGTCCTGCTCGGCATGAGTACCAAGGAGGTAAGAGCTTCGGATGGATTCGGTATAGGTCGTGAAGGACGCAACAGAGTGAGACTTCCGCAGCATGGGCCGGTTGTTCAGGCGGCCCGCTGCGTCTCTCAGATAGCCTCCAGGGCGCCTTCGAAGCATCCGAAGGGGCTCAGCAGCCGGAGTCCCGTATTCTCCGTCCAGCATGGAAGAGTCTGTAGTGGCATCAAAACTCCGAGCCGTGGAGTGTCGTTCTAGACGACTGCCAAACGAGGCCCGACGCCTAAAAGAGTAGATTGATTGCCGGGTATTTATCGACTGGTGTCTCTGTTGTATACGCAGCGTCCTGCGATTTGGGACTGGCTGGCGCAGACTGCCGCGGCGCAATGTCGAAGAGGAGTATCGGCTAGCATCATCCGATGGACCTATGCCATAAGAGCCATCTCCCAGGGCCACCATGTCCGACACGAGTGTGGGCAAGGGCTCATCTTGGGAAGTCGAAGGCGGAGCGGCGAGCTGGTCAAAAATGGAGGACGACCTCCGCGGCGTCCCAGCCGCGAGCCGCGCGGGCGGCGTTGTAGGGGGCGTTGGATCACCACCGGCCGTCAAGAAGGATCCGACTGATAGCCCGCCGACAGAAGGGTCGAAAGTGGCAGCAGGGAGTCTGTCGCGCATGTTCGACTTGTCAAGAGGAGCGGTATCGTCGACAATGACAATGGACTGGCTCCCAGTAGTGATGCCCATGTCGCTCATAGGCCGTGACCTCCGCTCCTGAGGCGCGTAATCAGCCGTAGTAGAGTCCATATGCGCTGCCGAATACTCCGTAGGTCGAGGAATGGTTCGAGAGGGCGTTGGGGATGGTTTTGGGAGACCCAAGCGTTCTGCCTCGGCGGCTTCCTCCTCTTCGCGGATGGCTCGCTTGAAATCCTCGGCCACTTCAGCTCCAAGCACATCGATCCTCACTAATGGGCGGGTAGCACTCTGGGCGTAGGCGCCCCGTGTTATAAATGCCGACGCAGGCAGTGGATCCATGCTGATCGTATGAGAGGCCAAAGAGGCGACGGCAGGCAAACTCGTGTGTGAACCAGAGGACCACTGCCCCCGGCTGTTCAAAGCGCGTCGGACGCCGCCCAAGAACTTCTTCATTCCAGACCCCGACATGGCAACTCCGAAGATCCGGTCCTTGGTACCGTGGCGGGAGGTGGGCTGGAAGATGGTGGTCTGTCTGTGGTCGCCAGTAGGGGTTTCGGCCTCGATATCGACAAAGGGCTGGCCAGGCGGTAGAATATTGCCCCGGACAAGATTTCCCGCGGACTGCAGGACCATGTGCAGATCAACGTATTGCGAAGGGGATTGATCAAAGCTGGTGCCCCTGAGCGAGTCGGTGGCGCTGTTGTTGCGCGAATGGCTTTGGGCCGGCCGAACACGTTTGCCAGCAAGAGCCTTGGGAGTCGTTGCTATCGCTCCCGGCGGCAGAATGGGAGATGTGGAATACACCGGATGAGCTGCCAGGGGCTGGCTGGAGTTGGGATTCAGAGACCTCACATTCTTGCTGGGAAAGGAACAAGACACGATGTCCATGCTTGCTATGCTGAGAGGTGAAGCAGGCCCGTTGCCCAGCACAGTGTTGGTGATCATCTGGTGTTCGGGAGTCCCTGGGCGGTCCTCTGACAGAGCAAAGTGTCCAATGTTGGTCGACGTGGGAAGCACATCGGAACTCGGGTTCGTCTCGTCGCTCAAGACGTTGGGCATGGCAGATACAGCTTGCCACTGTGGCGGATCTAGCCCTTCCCGGTCCCAAAAGGTAGGATCCAGGTTAGGGTCTCGGTATCCAGCGATGCCACCCGGCGCAACCGGGGCCTGAGGCCCCAACCCATCGTCAAACTCGGGGCCATCCCAGTAATGGGCACAAACACGTCGCCAGCACTTCTTGAGCTCCGTCAAGATCTTGAGCTGAACTCTACGCTCCTTTGCATCCTGTGACAGCTCGTCGACAAAGTCGTTGAGCAGGACACAGAAAAGAACGCGGAGGTCGTAGTCCAGGACAAAATCATCGACAAAGTAGTTGAGAATCCAGTGTCGCATGGCGACAAAGGTTCGAACACGGACAATCATCCCAACCTCGTCGGTGCGTTCCAGGGCCCAGCGCAGCCTCGCCATGAGCATTCGTAAGAGTATCTCAGGCTCAAGAAAGGCTCTGTAAGTCAGGAAGAAATCCGAGATGAGCTCGTAGTCCAAGAAGCTTGGTGACGTGATCTCGGCAACCAGTCGAGAAGGGGTCGCCGCAGTTACGGAACCGCTGGGCGAGTAGCGCACTATCAGTTTATCGTCGCACGCCGGCTTAAAGGTGAGATCATCAAACATGTCCGGCTCAATGACAAGGTGTGATGCGTAGACAGAGGGCACGGCACGCCGAGGGCGAGCTGACGCCTGCGAAGACGCAAGCGAGGTCCGCGGAAAGCGAAGTTGTGGTATGGCCAAATGGCTGGGTCGTCTAGACCCCAAGCCTCGCAGCGGAACGCCAAGGCTTCTCTCTGACGAATGGTGCATGGATGCGCGGCTGTTGGAGCGGAAGTCGTCTGTTGGGGCGTAAGAAGAGCCTCTGAAGATCGGGGTGCCCCTCGTAGAGAACCGCGGTGTCCCCAGCTTCCATGACGGGATGTTGATATTGAGTATCGGCACGCCGTCAGCGTCCGGATCGTCCCGATGGTCAGTCGTCTTGGGCCGGTGATGGTCGCCATGCGTTGGCTTGGTGATGACAATCCTATAACCCTCCGTGTCGGTGGCCGTCGGCGAGTTGAAGTCACGAACCGTACTGTCGGAAACGGCTCTACGGTGCTGTGACGTTGACGGAGCCTTGCTAGGATCGGAGATGTAGTTGGCGGGAATGGTGGACGTTCTGGGAGTGGGTGTGAATTGGTTGTCGTGGAAATTTGCCGGCGCTTTGAGGGGTTCATCGCTATTCTCTGGATATACGCCCTCTAAGCCAGCAGTGCCGGGAGGGGTTATGGGAAACGTGAAATTGGGTTGGGGATACCTCTTGTTTCCGCGGCGGACGGAGGGTCTAGGGTCAGACAAGAAAACATTAGCAAAGAGGGGCCACGACATCGCCCTTCAGAGTTGCGCGCATGCATACCTCAAGAACAGCTTGCCATTGTTCCCAACGTTGGCAACAGTGAACTGGCGCCCTTCGCGGCCGGCCGAGGCGCCGTCTGGTGCAACATCCCACCGGTCTTTCTCTTCATCTCGCCTTGCCAGTGACAGTGTTCTGCTGACGGACCTCTGCTCGGTCAAGGGTACAATCGGTCGGCCAGTAGTGGACGGTTTGCGCATCACCCTGGTCGACGGCTTTGGTGGTGTCGTCTCCTTCGCGTCCGACACGCTCCCTCCTGACACCTTCCGCGTCGTGTTGTCATATTTTGCTCCAGCGCCTTGGGCGGCTGTGGTCTGTATCGATTTGAGTTGCAGTGCTTTGCGCCGCTTGGTTGATAGCTTGGGTCGCAATGCGAGAGTTGACCGCACCGCTACCAAGGGAGGCTCGGCGGCATCCATGACCCATCCAATGTTATGATGGGACGGAGCTCGTGCTGCTCAAGGCTGGTGATTCTGAAAGCCCATCGATCAGGGGAGAGTTAGCGGACGAGGTTGGAAAAAAGGAGAATATTGTCTTGCTGAGCAAACAGCGGCCATAGGAGTCGCGAAGAGAGAGGACACAGCAACCGCGGCCACAAGGCTCGGCGCAGTCAGCTGGAAAGGAGGGCGTGTGACGGTTGGTAGTGGGAGCAAATGCGCGGCAAGGCTGAAGCCAAGGGAGTCGAGATGAACAATGGCAGATGGCTGGCCGACAGAGCGAGCAAGCGAGACATGCCGTAAACTTACCAACTGACGCCATGCAGGCACGGGGTAGAGGATGGTTCCAGGAGTGGACAGCAGGTCAAGCCCGTACCACTCTGCGTCCAGTAACTTGAATTGGCACGATATGGGATCGAGGGGAGCAGTCGTACGAAGCCGCGTCGAGTCGGGCGTGCCGAGTCGAGTCGAGTCGAGTCGCGTAGTATCGTGCGGTAGATTGGGATGGATGGTGGAAGAAGAACTTGCGCGCTGCCGTCTCGACAGCAAGCAGATGGAGGCGTCGTGTGCGGCAATCCAGAGGGCAAGTCGAGGCGAGAAGCGTCAAAGATTTGCGAAGCCACGGCACAGAGCGAGACAGTCGCGGACAGGCATGGCAGCGGCAGAGGGGAGTAACGAATGCCAAGCAGCAACGGAAGCGATGACAAGTTCGGTTGCCGGTCAAGAGTCTGGGCTCGGCGCCTGTCGTTCGGGTCTAGGATGGCACAGACAGATGGTTTGCCGGACGTCTGGGGGAGACAGAATTTGACGGGCTTTTGTCGAGGGCTAAAGGGAGAGAGAGGGAGAGAGAGAGTCATATCATCATCAAACCTGGGCCTTGCTTGGAACCGGGCGAGCGGGTACGTACCGGCACCTGTGCCTCGCCATGTGCCTGGGCGGCGCGCCATCAAATCTTAGTGCCGGTGGGTACCTGTATTTAAGACCTGGGCCTGGCCGATAGGGCGTCAATTTGGCGCATTGGCGGCATTCCAGCGGCTGAAGGCCCCCCCCCCCTGGCCGCCTGAAGACGAGAGCCGGGGGGGGGGGGCAATTATGCAGCAGCCCTCGCAGTGAGTGCGATGAGATGTGATGAATGCGAGGAGATGACGCCTGACGGTTGCATTCTGCCGATGTGTTTGGGGTAAAGTATCAGGCTTAGTGTCTGGAGCTCGTATGCGGGCTTACTCGGCAGTTTGGGCTCTGCTTCGGTAGATGGACTCGTACTTGTACGGAGTGTGTGAGATGGCAGCATGCAATCTGAAGCTCCCATCATGTGCTCAAATTGGCGATGCAGGGCAGAGGTATACTACATGGACTGAGAAGGGGTTGCCGGACAGGCACAAGTGAGACCCAGGAACCGGGGACGCTGATAGATAGGCATTGGATGCGTGTGTTGTAAGCCGTATTTCGTACTTTCGGAGCACATATTCCGCAACGACGATGAGCATCTACAATACCTTGTGAGGTTGTTGGATGTCGTATGCTGTAATACAAGCTGTATGTATGCCGTCAATCCTCGTACCTGCGTCGCCCAATGCGCATCGGCAGACGTCAATGCACGTCAGTTCGTGAGGTCTTGTGTCTCCAGGATCGGCGCTGCCCAGGGCTGTTTCCGACCTGGCTGCGGACAAGGCGCCTGTGTCTCTCTCCGCACGGCAGATGCCGGCTGCGGGAACTGGCTGGTGCGCTGACATGTGAAGCTGCCCACATCATGCACGACAGACGCCGTCAGCCCTTCGCCAGCTTTACACCTCGCTCTTCATGAGACGAACCGTGATATCTTCAGTGGCTCAAAGGCGATCTCAACGTGGTCAACGCCCTTGTAGTCCTCCTAGCGCCCAAACGCCTCAACAACCATCAACAAGCCACTTCTCTCGGACCCAATATGCTGGAAGAAAGCTGGAGCCTTTGAACCGTCCGTCCGCTAGCACCGCCAAGGTGGCAGCACCAATTCTTCCCATCCATCGTAGTCATACTAGCGGCAGCCATCAGTCGACATGTCGGGGTCACATCATCAAGCATATACTTTCAATAACGCGCGCCTCTCCCTACAAGCCGCTCGTACCGGCAACCTCGCCAGCCCCCCCAAACCCAGCTGGTTGGCTCGCCCTGGGCTGATGCGCGGTCCGCCTTCCGCGGGCTGGGGCTCAGGGCCGACGGACTCGTCTGCTAAGATGAAGCCATTGGCAGGCCGTGGGCGCGCGCAGCTGTGCTACAGTACGGAGTAGTGTGTACAATAGCAAGCTACCGTAGGCGGGCGAGAAGGATCGCGGAAGTTGATGCCATGTAGCCGCTCGTACCGCTGGTTGTGCGGAGGAGAAGCCATGCTGTTCGTTCCCTGGAAAGGCAATACGGTTGGAAGATGAAAAGGGGGACAAGAGACGCACGTTGGCGGAAGTCTAAATGATGCTTCAAGAACCAACAGTGCTTACCAACAGGCTATCGAACTCTGCGTTGTACGATACATAGCTCGTCATACTTTGCGCCATGAATCCAACCTCCATGACGATCCAAGAGGACACGAGAGAGGACGGTCCATTGACGCGAAGCTGTCTGTAGCTTGGTATGGCCGCTTGATTATTGGATGCCCGTTTCCAGGTACCGGCGTTCCATGAATTGACACTCGGGTTGGTAAGGTAGACAGAATAAGGGACGATACTCTCCATACAATACCTCATGCCCAGCCCCCCTGCGGCTTCATCTCCTCTCCAGCAAAATGGTTCTCTAGAATCCCACAAGCCAGCCAATGATTTCTTCCACTTGCAACCCGTACCAGAAACAGCACCCCTGCTTTTCCATCCAGACCGCTGTACCGACAGCCGACCAACAACACCAGCTCGTATCAAGCGAAATAAGAAAAAAAGAGACAGCCCTGGTTTTCTTCCTTTGGAACTTTCTAGGACTTCCTTCTTCCGCGCAAAGGCTCTTCCCCGGCACCGAGAGGCTGGGTGTGTGTTCCGGGTTTCATCCCCTGCAAGGCACAAAAAAAAGGCCCCATGCGGAATTTGAAACAAATGGGCAAATTCGCCTTTTCATGGTTCCTGAGAAGGGGGCCGGTCGTCGCTACTGTGGGTTTTGTTCCGGAACAATGGCAAAGCGGCTCGTTCCCTTCTTTCTGCCTTCTTTTTGTTTTATTTTCCTTCTTCCTAGTCAGTGAGTTACTTATTAGAGTTCTTGGATGTGTCAAGAATTGCAGTCCGGCCAGCGACCTTACTTCAGCTTCCACTGCAAACTACACGATAGTACTACTAGTAGTACTATAAACCTCCTATCTGACCAAGAGCAAAACTCAATCACAAGCGCCTCGACCGGAAATCAACCATGTTCCCCCTCTCCAACACGCAACGGCAAAAAGGCAAAATTGTCACTCCATATTCCATGCTCACCCATTCATTCATTCATTCATCATACCTCAAACATTATGCTTTCATGCAAGAAAAAAAGAAAAAAAAAATATGCCCAGAGTTCTGTGACCTGTCACATAACCCATCCCCAGGCATCCAACAAAAACAACAAGGAACATAATCTCCCAGCCGGCCAGCCGGCGACCTCCCCCCCCCTTCTCCCGTGACCTCGACCTCATGTATGACCAGACCCAGACATTCGGGGTCCTACTTGTAATCTGCCGCAAAGACGCACAACATCCTGGTTCCCCGAGTCCACATCTCCCGTGTGTGTTCCAGTAGCACTGCTGCTGCATGACTTTCTTTTCCTGCGCCGTCATTGGAATGTCTCACTATTCTTCGTCACCTGGTCTTACGGTCTCATGCAAATAGAAACCTCCATAACAACACTACCAACCCGACTCAACGCGCATCTTTCTCAAATTGCACAGAACAACTCAACAAGTTCCCACAGCCATGCCCGTTAAAAACCCATCTTCGCCATCCCACACAGACAAACCTCCCCACCAGACCACCGCAGCCCATCAATCTCCCGGTCATCAACCTCCGTTCCCACACCTCATATCGGCAACCCCAGCGACACTTCCCAGCCGCACAGCCCGCCAAACGATCCCAACCCCCCTTCACAAGAACAACTCACCCTGAACCCTTTCAACCAATGGCACCTGCAAAAATCCCACGTCAAATGTCAAAACTTCTCCCATGTCCCATGTCCTGGCAATCCACGTGTTTCTTTTCCCCCCCTTCTTAGACTAGTCCTCCCGTCTCCTCGTAGAGCGACGTTCGTTTGTCATTTTAGTGTCTGTCAAGAATTCGACTCGACAACCGATGCATGTTGATGCCACAACGTACCACGTATGTACTCGTACAACTAGATAGGTACAGACCCAGGCGAAACGCGTGGACTCCTGGCACGGGCAATGGTGTTTCAGCACCTTGCCTTCTTTCATATTTCTTTTTTCTGCTTCTCTCGCCTCTTTGTTATCCCGTTTCTCGCTACCGAAGAATGACAGAATCACTTCCCTTTTCGGTCATATCAGTGTACAACAAGTTTGACAGGGAAGACAGGGAAATCTGCCGTACGTGTATTCATACCTTATATACTACACGCAATCTTCTCTCAAAGCAGGTCTATGTGCGGAAACGGGACAATCAATTGCACCGATCAATATAGGCATCCAAGACAGCGAAAAGGAGAGGCCAACCGCCTGTCGTATATTCTAGATAATCTCGGTCTACGACATTAAATGAGCTTCCAAGACAGTGTTGCAATGAGTTATTTTTCGACACACTCGTTCGAGGCCATAGGCTCCTCTCCTTTTCCAATTTGCACCGTATTTTGCTTCATCATGTGTGTTATTCTATTCATGTTCATTATTTGACGGTAATCCAACTGTAGGCCTATATGATGGCACCCCAAATGCCCCTCTCCCTATTGTATTTATGTAGATAATATATGCAGAGGCGCCTATAGATGTACCTCGTTGATCTTCTCAACAATGAGGTCCGTCAACGTTTCCACCACGTTGCTGTTGGGACCGCCCGCTCTAGCTTCAAAGATGCAGTCCAGAATGGATTTGACTCCTACGGCCACCGACTCCGTCCCTGTACGTTCCTGAATCGCTCTGATCGTTTGGTTGACATCTTCTGAATTGAGAACCCTCGACTCGTGGAGCACAATGGCAAGCTCACGCAGATTTGAAATGGCCGGCACAGCTACCTTTTTGGCAAAGTCTTGCTCAACCTCGAGCAGCTTGAGCGTAGACGCCTTTGACGTAGTCACAAAGATAAGGAGACGATGTCCCTGGAAGCAAACAGTTAGCCAAGCACATCCTTGTTCCTAAGCAGAACACAGCAGCTTCTTACCTTGGGAGGCTTTGAGACAATCAGCGTAGTGAGGGCCTCCAGCATGACGTTGGAGAATCGCGGGCCAATCGGGTTCCAGCCAATCAATCGCTCAAAGTCGTCGAGGATCAGGACACTGGCCGGTGATTTGTAGGCGTCCGCAAAGGCCTTGTGGACGTAGTCCTTCTTGGCAAATTCGTCCCGGTAGCCCACAAGGTCGGCCGGAGTCACCAGCTTGACGAATGGGAATCCAGACTGCACGGCAATATGCGCCGCCAGGGCAGTCTTTCCGGAAGATTTGGGGCCGTGGAACAGCACAGATGTGCTGAACTTGTTGGGGTCCTCCCTGATCATGCCCACGACACGCATCATCTCCTGCACGGTGGCATCAATGTGAGGACCATAGGGGATGATGCCCAATCGGACGGCGTCTTCCAGTTCGGCCTCGGACACTCCGTAGGCAGGACGGACTTCAGTCAGCGCGTTCATGAAGTCATCCCGGTTAACTCTCATGCTCGCCACGTCTTGCTTGACTGCAGCCAGCTGTCCTACTTCTGTATGGCGCGAGAAGGCAAAGGAAGCCGCTGCCTTAACAAGACCGTTGATTTCAGCTCCTGAAAAGTTCTTGGTGAGCCCGGCCAGTTCGGCAAGGTCCACGCTTGGGTCCAAGAGACCGTTGCTGCTCATCTTGGATGTGTGAATCTTGAGAATCTCCAGTCGTCCGTCCTCGTCTGGGAGGGAGATTTCGAGGTGGACTTCCAGACGGCCGGGTCGCAAAAGGGCATCGTCAATCATGTCTTTTCGGTTCGTCATTCCAATGAGGAGGATATTGTTGAGTTGGTCGACACCATCCAGCTTGGACAGAAGCTGGTTGACGACGCTGTCGCCGACGCCAGTGCCGCCGCCAGCGCCAGATCCACGCTGCTTACAGACCGCATCCAGTTCGTCAAAGATGATAATGTGAAGGCTGCTCTCGTCTCCCTTCTCCTTGTACTCTTTTTCAGCATCCGCAAAGAGTTTGCGGATGTTCTCTTCAGACTGGCCGACATACTTGTTCAACACCTCCGGACCGTTGATTACCTTTGGCGGCCTGGCGTTGAGCATCTTACCAATCTGTCTCGCAATCAATGTCTTTCCCGTTCCAGGAGGACCGTAAAGAAGCATTCCCTTGACGTGCGGAATACCCATCTTGGCCACCAGGCCCGGGGGGAACACGCGGGACGCAAACGCACGGCGGAAAATTGTCGAGAACTCGTCTCCCAGGCCACCGATACCCATGTCTTCAAACTTGAAATCGGGCGCCAGGATTGCGTTGGAGTTGGGCTTCGTAGCCGAGGGCTTGAGGTTGAAATCTCCTTTGCCGTCGCGGTGAAACAGAATGCGGGTCTGGTTCGTGAGAATACCCCTGGCGTGAGATTCCCTATGTATTTGTTTGCCTCCATCATCCGCTATGGACAGATCGACCAGCCCAACGGTCTTGACGACAATCAAAAGCGGTATGTTCCGCACGTCCATGAGGATCCTCTGCCCAGGAGCGAGGATCTGGTTCTGGAAGTTGTTGATGAAGAGTTTGGACAGCTCGTCTTCGTCGTAAGGCGCCTCGGTTCTCTTCGTTGGTGAAGCGAAGCCAATCTCGAGATCCAAAGAGCCCAGGTATGCCTTGCCTCCAGACGCAAAAGGATCATAGACCTCTCCGGTGAAGGTGTCTCTCATAGCGACACCACACCATGTGCGTTGGGGGTCGGACAAGCTGATGCAGCCCCGGGGAAATCCAGGAACGGGCGTCGCAGTGACGACGTACTCCCCAGGTGGCTGACCGGCTCGGAGGAGGATGTAGTAGTCTGTGCCGTCGGGTCGAGGAGGGAAGTCTTCGGGTGAAACAGCACAACTAGCAAAACGCATCAGAAGGCATTCTTAAGACGAGGGGGGCAGCACTTACGTGTTTCCATAGATCAGTCTTGACTGCAGGGTCTTGTCCGCAACCTTCTCAACCTGCAGCTGGACCGCCCGCCCGCTGCCTCCGGACGGCTTCTCATGGTATCGCTGTCCGGCACCCTGAGGGCCACCATACCCGCCTTGCGGTGCGCCGCCGTATCCTCCCTGCTGCGGTGCGCCTCCATAGGGCTGGTATGATCTGTCGCCAGGAGGGGGCATTCGCGGATTGCCTCCAGGCAGCCCCATGCCGCCGCCGAAGCGGCCCGGGTTACCGCCAGGAGGAGGGGCTCTGGACATGGCGGAGGAGAGACGGTCGATCGAAAGAGAGGATGGGTGAGAGCGATTGTGCAGCTGTTTCTTCAATCCAGATGCAGAAGCAGAGTCTATAAGCGCAAACTCATTCGAGAAACAACATGGGATGAAAGGAAGAGAAGAGGACGAGGCACGTTGAAACAGCAGGCGAAGAAGCCAAGTTGGAGCTTGGGTGGGCGAGGATGGCCATAAGTGGGGCGGCTGACTGCCCGATGCAGGTTAGCGGTTATGTCATGGCTTCACAGCCCCACGTTCCTGCCTTATCCCTTATCGGCTGCGAGATCTCGGGGGATGGAGATCACAAGCTTCGTCTTTGTCGAGGCAGTTCTGTCGCTTGGACAACTTCGACTACAACATGCCGCTGTGAGTCGCTGACCTTGTACTCCATATCGCTTCTCTCCATATCCGGCGCATCCTGCTAAGATTATACAACATAGCCATCTGCTGGGCAAGAAGTCGTGGAACGTCTACAATGCCGACAACATCGCGCGCGTCCGCAGAGACGAAGCGGCCGCAAAGGCTGCGGAGGAGGAGGAGGAGCGGCGCATGCAAGAGGTCGATGCGCAACGGCGACTGGCGATCCTGCGCGGCGAAGAGCCTCCCCCTATAGAAGACGAGCGACAAGACGAACGAGGCGAACAAGGTAGAAAGGCTGAAAGCGGCTCCGCTGGCGCACGATCAAGATTCCCCGGTCACGGCAGGAGGAGGAAGCGGCCGGGCGAGGACGATACCGACTTCGAGCTGCGGCTGGCGCAAGAGAGGAACAGCGCAACATACTCAGCTATTGAATCGAGCCGCAAGCCGACAAGCTCGGCGCCCATCGTCGACCATGCGGGACACATTGACCTCTTTGGCGACGAACGAGCCAGGGCGCACGCACAGAAGAACGACGAAGCGGAAGCAGAAAAGAAGAAGAAAGAGAAGGAATTCGAAGACCAATATACGATGCGATTCTCCAATGCAGCAGGGAGAGACGGAATCAGCAAGCCCTGGTATTCGCAGAGCGACGGGATCGCGCCGGATGCCTCTTCCAAGGACATATGGGGGAACAAGGACCCTAATCGCCGGGCTCGAGACTCTCAGCGCATCATCTCCGACGATCCATTGGCGATGATGAAGAAGGGCGCGTCGCAGATCCGCGAGCTGAAGAGGGAGCGCATGAAGATACAGGCAGAGAGAGATGCGGAACTGAAACAGCTGCGCAAAGAAGAGCATCGCCGCGACAAGCACAGGGATCGATATAGGGAGAGAGAGGAAAGGGAAGACAGAGGGGCCTCGGAGTCGAGGAGGCACCATTCGAGAGACAAGCGTGAGCGTCGCGATGACCACCGCGAGAGGAGAAGGCATAAAGAGGAGGAGAGGAGGAGGCGACATGACGACTCACGGTCGCGTTCGCGTTCGCCGGACCGGCGACGGCATCGGCACCGGCGTGACGAGGAATGATTGATGTGTAGCGTTTTTTGACCGAAATGTGTATAAGATTCCCAGTAAATAGTAACGACTTATGACGAATATGCAAACTCCTCAATCCCATCCAAACAATACAGCAACCTAGCAACGCGCGACATCAGACTTGCCCCCCAGGGGTATCATTTCTCCGTCCACGGCAGCTTGATCTCGACCGGCTTCATATCCTGCACAACCATGTCCACCAACGCCTTGGCGTCCAGCCTCTTCAGCGCCTCCGCAATCTTGCCATACGTCTCCTCGCTCAGCCCCTCCCTCCGATCACAGTACACATCCAAGCCCTCCCTGGTAAACAGCGTCGGCGCGAACCACGTCACCGCCCACCTCTCCGTCTCGCCGCCGTTCGCCCTCGTCTCCTCCCCCCAGCCCAGCAGCTCCCAGTGGCTCCCCACGAAGAACAGCCAGCCCTTGCCGCGCCAGTCCCAGCCTCCTCCTCCGGCTGCTCCCCGGGGGCTCTGGGTGTCGACGCCGGCTACGGATTTCAGGGCGCCGGCCTTGCTCGTGGGCTCGTACTCGACGAGGTCGTCGATGCGCAGACGGCCGTCGGGCTTGGGCGGGAGGGGCTTGTATGTGATGCGGACGTTGCGCGCGTCGCGCCACATGGAGAGGGTTGAGTGCGTGACGGTCCATGTTCGCGAGAGCCAGTCGATGGACGGGGCGGTGTCGTCGTCTGATGGGACGGTTGACGGGGGTGAGTATTTGGATGGGAGTTTGAGGGTTATCGTGGGTGTTGGTTCTGCCATTGGAAATGTTAAATTGATTAATATGAGATTTTCGCGTATGTTTGTTTACGAATGTTGTGAGTTATAGAGGTTCAGCTGAAGGGATGAGTGAGAGGCGGCTGGTCAGCCGGGGGGGTGGGAGTCTTCTCATATTGAAACACTAAGCGTCATCATGCATGGGCGTGCTTGATATGGGAGTGGCTATCCAACCTTTCAGCAAACATACATCTCTATGACAGCTGCTGGATAAATGAAAAGGAAATCTGTACTGTTAGCTACGATGGCTGTGTTCTCTTCAATCTTTGTACCAGGCTTCTATTCTTACCCAGTAGATACGGTATATAAGTCGGGATGCTGGAAGCCACTCTCTTTATTATAAGGCACGTACCCAGCGCACTCCCCATTTTCTTGCAGACTCCAAACACGTCTAGCTCAAACAAATACATCAGTATATCCCGGGTGACTCTATAACGTCATGGGTAACTGGAAAGTTCATTATCATGCCAACCGCAAACCGCCTCCAATTCCCAATTTTCACAACTTGTTCCAGGGTAAGCCGCATCACACCTTGCCTCGCATATCACACACCAATGCACGGCCCCGCTTAAATCAGCGGCTCAAATCCATCCACCAGAAAACGCGTGACCCCAACCTTCACCAAACGACCAACTTCTCACCAACGCTCTCTCACACAACCATCACCGACAAACGAAATCTCACAACAAAGAACCATCAACACACCACAGGCTTATCTCACTCACCCTTGAGCGCCTTTGCTCCAAGTCTCATAAACCCCAAGGAAACCAAACTTCACCCCCCCTGAAATGGACACACCACCACCCCTCGACGACGAAGCCGCCGCAATGGCCGCCGCAATGGGCTTCTCCTCCTTCGGCGCCCAGAACCGGCCCCAGAAGCGCAAATACAACCCCCACGCCGACGCAGTCACCAGCTCCGACTCGGCAACCGCCCAGCGCGCGGCAAAGCCATCCGCCACGGGGTCCAACTCTACGCCACTCGGAGCTGCCAGGGAGAAGCAGCCTGATCCGGCGGCTAACGCCGATGAAATTGACCTGGATGGAGATGACGACAAGGATGAAGACGCCAACCTTGACAGGGGGCAAGACGATGATCCGACAACCTCAGCCGGGGCTCTTGAAGAGCCGCCTAACCAGTCGTCAACAACACCGGCGTTAGTGCGCCCTCCAGGACTCCCAAACCGTCCGCCGCCTCCTGGAATCAGCGCCACCACAGGCCCTTCGGGAGGAGGAGGAGGCCATCATCGAGCCAACACCCACAGAAGAGAGGACGACGACTCCTGGAGCGAAGGATACTACGATCCACAATCAAACGAGAACCCTTGGCGGCGATTGGAGGAAGCGAAAGGCTTGCAACCCCTGGGTACATGGCTGGCTCCCGGCCACCATCGAGCGAGTGCTCGAAGTTGAGAAAGGGCCAACCTTTCCATCAATACCAGAATTGGCATCATTATGGATATATGGACCGTGTTCGGCCCATTGGTCCCCTGTGGGATGCCTCGAGAAGTGCTTGGTTCTGTCCCATTACGGCACGTGGAGCTCACTGGATGCATCTCTTTGCTGGAACTCGAAGCTGGGTTCTCGAATCTCTGCTCCGAACGTCATCACGTGATACCTCCAGCTTCAGAGACAGAAGCTGTCAAGTACTGGATCGAACACATCCCTTCCGTGGCAGGATGACGACACGCCCTCTGGGGTCATGACTGGGTCTGTGATGGCCTCGAGGCCTACGCTGGAGTGGCCTCAACACCACCGTTTACAGCTACGGCGCGGCGTGCACGGGCAAACGGGCCACTCGTACTTCGGGAACCAAGCCTCAGCGGATTCACCTTCACCACGTTGTTTTTTGACGCCGGAAACGGCTATTGTTATTGCTACAGAAGCTTACAGACATCCTCATCATCTTGCAATAGACTCCAGGGTGCCCCCAGAAACGCCAATGTCGCCAAATAGAGTAGTACCTCCTTGCCTTCAGTTCCCGCCGATACCCAATGCAGCGATATTCCACCTCCAATAGGAAAGGCGTCTTGACACACATCCCATCATGTCTGCCTCTACTCGCTCGCTCCCAGCCATCGCACACACCCCCCGGGAAGCCCCAGGTGGAGAAGAGGGCCCTCGTGGGTGCTCAAGACCCTGCAGCCCTCGTGGTTCGCACGGGACGGCCAACTTTGACCCCTGGTCCTCCTGCAGGCTCCCCGAGAGGAGTGTACGTCTCGGCCTCGCTTCCCGATTGCCATGAACTATCCAATCATGAGTCATTATTGTCGTAAGTTTCTCATTTCCCACCCCCCACACCGTCACAGCGCCAAAACGGGGCTTGTGGCGGGTAGAACCGCCCGGCCGTAGGGCTGGTAAAGCAGCAAGAGATCTGGCATCCAACCCTGCAAGATTGCCGCGCGGTTCGCGCCAATTTCGACGTCAATCCATGCTAGTTGAATCGAGCGCCTCCCCGGTCAAACCGCCTATAGTGATGCCGAAGGGACAAAATTACCACAACTTTTGGTAGTAGTGTTTATAGCCGTTGGTGTCAAAGAATGATGGAAATCGCTTTTGTGAAAACTCCGGAAGAAAAGAGCAGCTTCAATGAAAGCCAACAAAGGAAAAGATTCGGGGGTAAAAACGATCGTCTGTCTCTCCAGGCACTTCAGTTGTATTCGGGGGAGGGAAAGCGCTGGCGGGCCTTTGCGTGCTCCTTGGGGTGCTTTCGCGCGGCCTTTGCGTTCAGAGATCTATTGATAGCCCGGATTAGCTTCAATTTCGACTCTTGCAGAAATAGTTGCACAGTTTGTTCGCGTCTGGACTGTGCTTGCTCCGCCCTCTTAAAGCGGAGAACTTTAGACTCTGTAAAGGGGGGGCGATACTCACGAGACTTTCTTCTGAGTCCACTCCAGGTCGTTGCGGACCTCCCGCGCGTCCCGCATGCCTTCCGAGAATCGTTCACGCGTCCGCGCGAGGCGGGCCTGGGCCTGCTTCTGAAGCTCCAGCAGTTCGCGGTGCTTGGCGTTGAGTTTACCGGAACTGTGTAGAGTTGTCTGTTAGCTCAGCCCGGCGTCACATGGTTTCAAAAAAAGGCCAACTCGGGCTTAGAATCGTTCTCTTGACTCGAGGCGCCCGAGACAAGCGGTGGATCAACTTACGTCTGCGCTTGAACGGCCATGCTCCGATCCAGCGGAATGGGGTCGAACGAGTTAGAGAAGCGTTCTTGCATGTACTCCTGGAAGTCAACGCCGCTAGCCGAGCCGGTGCTTTCGTAGTCGCCGCTAGAGCTACCAATGTAACCAGCAGAGGTGGCGGAATATCCAGAGGGAACACCGGAGGCGGAGCTCATGGTGTCATCGCATTCTGGTGGAGAGGAGGAGTACTGGCTGTAGGCGGGGTGTTGGGTGCTCTTGGAAGGGACAGCCATGGGCATGGTGTAGGCAGCAGTTTGGAATGGGGCAGACATGATGATTGATGGCCAATTGATGACGCTGACTGGACTTGAGCTGAGAACAGACAGGGAGTATGTGTGGCGTGTGTGTAATGAACTGGACAAGTGAACCAAGCTGTGATAGGCTGGAGAAGAGTGCAAGTCTTGAGACGAAGGTCGAGACGAAGGCCAACTGTCTTGTGCTGAACAAGAGGAGAGTTTGGAAACTTGGGGAGGCAGTCGAAGATTGCTGGAGAAGAGTGATACGAAAGGAAGAAGAAGAAAGCATTCCAACTCGATCAAAACACCTCCTTTTATACTTTTCCAGGACCCTCCCTGGTCATCATTGACCTAGTCAAAGGGATAAGAGACCATGCCTTCATTCGCCGAGGCCGGTCATCACCGACCCCGCCTGTGGTGAATAGCAAGCAAACATGAAGTGATGGCGCTATCACCGTAGGGGAGAATGGACGAGACACTCGTGGAGACTTGCATGGCGAGTAGCTAGCAAGGGGCGGAGGAGGCGTGGTCGTGGACGTTGTGGATCGGGATCCTATGTCGAGACGGCCCAGCTTCCACCATCCAGGATGCCATTGAGCTCTTGGACCAACCAGAACAAGGAATTGAGAGGCAAGGTGAAGGAAAGGGTAGGGGTGGGAATAGTGTAAAACCACCAGTTGGACGAGGCAAAGAAAGCATGAGGTGCGGTGGTGCAATGAAAGTCAGTCTGAAATGGATTGAGAACCGCTTCGAGCTCTCTAAACACATCAAGTACATTGGCCTCTACCCGCATATGCCCGGGGGAGGCAAAGCTGCAAAGACCCCGATCAGTGGAGCCGATTCCCATTGTTAGATTAGACGCGGTGTGTATAAGTGGGAAAGGGCACACACACACGCATTCCCAGCTCAAGGACCGGTAAAGGTGGTATGGGGGCAGGGATGGGCGTGGGATGGGGGTATGACGGACACTCGGATCTGAGCAAGGGGAGCTTGATGGATCACTGATGGAGGTAGTATGTAGTAGCACTCTGTAGACGAGGCGGATGAGGGCCCCAAACCGGGGAAGACAAGGCATGCAAAGAGCGGCTGCAACTAGCCATTGGGACCAACAGTAAGGAACGACTGAAATGGATGGAGCTGGACACACGGGCCTTGACGGACGCAGCACCAGGGTTTGCTATGACATGGGGATGCTGGACTCGGCATGGCCAGGATAAGGCAGTGGAGAGGCTTGTGCAGATTCAAGGCACGCCCTGCCGTGAGCCACGGACAGCCGATGGGAGCGGAAAAGAGACGTACGAAAGAGAGGCGAACAGCGGAGAGGAGTAGGGCTGTGTGGTCTTTGTCCAATTCCGAGGGAGCAAGTGATGACGAACGGCTGTTGATTCAACCGGCTCTGGAGCTACCTTACGTTAGCTGGGAACAAGTTGCAGCCGGAGCAAAAGGAGAGACAAAGAAAAGAGAGAACATCGAAGGGAAAAAATGTCCAACAAGCGCGATGACGCTAGCTGGACGCGAAAAAGAAGGTGTGCCAAAAGCAGCACCGGATTTACTTGTGCGTCTTCTCTCTGCTCGCCCCCCCTGCGCAGACCTAAAATCTCATGGTTGGCTGCTTTGACGACGCCACGAGGAAAAAAAAAAAGGATCCATCCGGCAGCATCTCGCGAAGTGGACGGTCCAGAGGCGAGAGACGGAGAGAGAAGCAGAGAGAGCGGGTCAGGCAGGAGTGCAGGCGTTCTGGCGCTTGGAAGGGGAGGTGAAAGAGGGTGAGTGAGGTGGTGGTGATGCGTTGTCAAGATATCCGCCAGAGCATGTTCCGAAAGGGCCAAGATGGGATCTGGACGAGGTACAGTGTACTTTTTGGCAGTTCAGTTGATCCTTGAGGCGACAAGGCAGCAAAGGGGGGGTGACAGCAGTAGATTGGACGTGCCTGGAGTAAAATGTACATGATTCGTCCAAATTCAAGCAACGTTGGAAATGGCAAGAATATCGTGTACATTATGGCTGCGAATTGAGTCGATTCTACGGGGAATCAGAGGAGCGAACAACTCACCCGTTGTCACTTCGCCTTCCGCGCTCTGCCGATGCTGCATCGAACGCCGTTTGTCTGCCTTCTGCCGGCTGCTGGCAAATACGACCTGCAGCTTACGACCGCATGCCATGCTTGCCTTGCCTTGCCTCGCCTGGCCTTGCCTTGCTCGGAGTCATGTATGTAAGGTATATGTAAGGTAGTATGTGCATGTATTACGGAATATGGAGTACAGGCAATAATAATGTAGTCTACTGACAAGATCCAGCATCAGCATCATTCTCGATGCTCGTGATTATTCCACGTGCAGGCCATCGGAGCGATAACTACCTACCTAGTAGCTGCACACCGCCGAGTGACAGTCGCTATGTACCTAGTAGCAGTCCTCCGCAGCGCCTGATGGTGAGACAAGACTTTGGACACATTTCGCTCTCGTCTACATACGAGTCCATTACTACTAGTATCGTACTATCTCTAGTATCTTCTTGCGTTACACTCAGGCTTCTTCGGACCCCACCGCCCGGCTCCAGCAACTTCGTCAAGGCAACCTGCGTGCCATCCTCTCATTGGAGGTAAATGACCCAAGTCGTGAAGCCCGGATGAAGCTCATTCGCCCAGACTTGGGAGCCTACCTTAGCAGCAACAAATGGTTGCCAATTCGAAAATGAACCAGTAAGAAAACAGCGGGAAAGGATGTCTGGAACAGGATGCTGAAGGAAAAGAGGGCGTTCGGTAGGCGTGGAATCCGGTGAAAAGGGACCGTCTCAACCGCTTGCGCCCCTCCCCCGCCATTTCTGTTGTATCAGAGAGGAAGAACGACGAGGATCGAACACGTCAGCCCGCCAGAGACTCGCCACAGCCAATGGGCGAATTATTACCATGATGCTCATCAACGGCAAGGCATGGATTGCCGTACGCATATGTACGTACGTACATATATCTACGTATGTACTAACTTACCTACCTATGGAACTACAAGTGCCAGGTACCTTATGCACACATGCATCAAAGCGCTGGATGGAAGCCGGTGGAGACGCCCATGATGATGGAGCTCGTTGTTCGTTGTTCGTTGTTCTTTTCTTTTTTTCGGTGTGTGCAGGGCGTCCTGCAAGCTCGTAGGGCCGTGCTGCAGCTCCAACGCATCAGGCAAGCAAGGCCCTCCTACAGTAGTGCCCACCGCGGAGGCCGGCCAGGAGCCCAATAGAAGCAGCCCAAGACAGCCCGCGAGAACAGGCTGTCCTGCGAGCATCACCACTTTTTCTCCCCGGCTCGACGCAGCATGGCCCCCAGCCGGGTCCTGGATGGCCCCTGCAGCCGCCGCTTGGGGCAGCAATCACGCTCTGCCATGCTGCCGTAGGCACACATGTTGCACATGCAGCAGGTAAGGTACCTGGTTTTGGATGGAGTACCTGCGTAGGTAGGTACCTTAGGTATGTAGTAATACCTTGGGATAGACTGTATGGTGTTGACGGCATCGATAGACATATACTTGGAGCCCGGCCTCGAGCCTTTCGGACGTCCGGTGGTTTCCTCGCAAGGGATTTGCTTCTTTCGGCCGCTCAGCGGAGTAACACGCAGCCACCAGAGGGCCTCGAATCCGGATCATGGTGCCCGGGTGGACAAAAGAGGCATGTTATGCGTGACACCGAAGGCACGCCCAGCATGTACGACTTTTGCACCTTGCTATCAAAAAAATGACTGACATTTTGTGCTTTGTAGGTTGTACAGAAGAAAGCCGTCCGTGGACTTGTAGATTATATGAACATGCAGGTCGTCTTTGACCGCCGTCTTGCTGATTGTTGCTGCCCTCGTGGGTGAAGTACTGCTCAATGGGCTGCCTCTCACTCTTTGATAACAACCAACAAGTGACCCCTTCACGCTAAGCCATGTTGTGCATTGCATGAATGTGGCTTTTTGGATCATCAACGACAAACCTTGATCCAAGGGGATGGCGTGAAGGTTCTGCCATGAACTTGAGCTGTTTGTGGGCTTTATTAAAACGGCTTCGTCGGCCGACTGGGCTAAAGCGGCGATAAGCTGTCATGGACGAAAGCTACGAGCCAGTGTGAAAATATAACCACCTTTAAACCCAAACAAACCGAGACACAATCCTTCAAAAAGCATTGGAACCGAGCTGTCAAGGACTGTGCGTCTGGATAACACATATCAGAGGCTACGACCGCAATCCAGAAAGACTGAGGTCACTAGATAACAACATACAGGTGAGAACAAAGACAGGATATTATGGGGTCGTGAAAAAAACCATAGAAGCAGCCGAAACGGGAAAAAAACCCTCCCCCTCCCACACGCCCCCTCCTCCAGCAGCCCAGAAGCCTCTTCCCGAACGCCTGGGAAAGAAAGGTATGAGTTGTCAATGGACAGGGGGGAGGAGGGCGGAATTTCGAACAGGGGCCGGAGAAGCACAGATGCTACGGTATGTCCATACATACGGAACATGGGATTTGGTTGCAGCTCATAAGTATTGAAGAAATAGACGAAAAAAATAGTGGAAGAGATCTAGAGGGGAAGTGATGAACAAGTCGAGAAGAAAGGCATTGGGAATGCAATGTAAGGTAGATGCGAACAAGTTCACTCTCTGCTCACAGATAAAAGAGAACATGTAAGAGAGAAGCCCCAGGAAATAAAAGATCTTCAAAGCCAGCGTTGCATTGCAATTGAGTTCATGGGATGCCCCCTCCTCTACGAGGCAGAAGATTGAACAACACATCACCACCTCAGCCAACGCAACGGATCTAACTCCCGAAAAGAATTTCAAGAGGACTGGTAGAGGGAAAGAAATTGAAAAGAGCCCAATGACACCACTAGAGCGCTTGCCGGATTCTACCCAATAGAATTCTAGAAGCTTCAAAATACTCATCATGAAGAAACGAAAGAAGGAACCTGCGCTGTATCATGACATCGGTTTGGAAAAAGAGGAAAATCGACACACCACACAAAATCCCATTGCTGTGTTGTGCATCGCTGAGGTGGCAGCGCCCCCACCCTCTCTATCATCTATCATCTAGTAGCCCACCACATCTGTTTTCCTTGAACTGGAAACCATCAAGGAATACCGGGACTCTTCATGATTGGTGTTATTTCCCTTTGATAGAACTTCTCCCCATACGCTTTCCCTTCAAAGTTCTTGAATTAATCTCACAAAAGAGGCATTGGTAATAAAAGCCTAGAAGAAGCACCAGACGGCAAGTAACTTTTCTAGCAAAGAAGAAAAGACGCTCACCTCTGAGAGACAAGCGTCCAACAACGTCCAGCTAATGACATCCTGTGCACCAGGAACCATCCCTGCCTCTTGGGACGGTGGCTCGTGGCACCTCTTCATCAATGGGCATCGGTGCGTCTGCTGTACGAAGCAACCGTACCGTCTGCGCGACATCGCCACGGCATATGCTATGTGCGCCGCCACACCTCTTCGTGTTCCCTGACGACACCTTTTTTCTTCCTCACCAACATGCAGAATCACCAACAGCACTATGTATCATCATGACCAGCATCATTACTTATCGTAGACGCGGCCTGCTGCATGGATATATGCAGAAGTGGCGTAGTAAAAGACTAGCGGTCAGACAGTACCAGCTGAAGATGAAATGGCTCGAGGGAGTTTATGCCATGATCATCAAGTGCATGATGCACAACTAGCATCTGGAAGTATGTCATATTAGATGTCTATCTAGATCCCTAGTGCTATATCTAACTTGCACCTCCTGGGTGAACTACCTAGCATATATGAAAATCGGTGATCCATCGCATGACCAGAACAGCCCGTCAAGATATCAAAAAAACCAAGCTTCGTGATATAAAACGTACACGCGAAGAGCAGAAGAAGGAGAGATTGTGTGAGGGGGATCGCATTATACAGAGCGAGGAAGATGTCAAACAGACATAAAATCCATGTCATCATCAGAGCACAGCATTCTATACCCGGCAAATGAGCTAGCCAAACAGCTTCAGAAACCCCCAGATACCAATTCCACTAAGCACCGGGATCGTCAAGTTGTCGTCCCATCCAAACACGTCGGCAACCTCGCTGGCCGAGGCCACAAATCCGGACCAGACGCTCATGATGCCAAGGGCCACCGAGCCGGACACGGAGGTCATGCTCTCCGGGATGCCGACAGCATCCACCAATGCGCGCGGCAGCGACAGAGTGCCTGTGAACATAAAGTTCTCGTCGCCGGGCTTGGGGCCCAGCGTCGGGACCAGCCACCCATACCACAGATAGGAGGTGGCCACGCCGACGACAAAGGCGGCGAGCGATCCGGCCAGGGACTTGCCGCGGCGCAGCCTCGGGGTGTATCGTCCCCAGAGGCGGCCGAATGTGCTGGCGGCCGTGTCGCACCAGCTGAGGAGCAGGACGCTAATGACGCCCACGTCCTTGGGGAAGAAGTAGAGGGTGATCCAGGCGCCGAGGAGATAGAAGATGACGCCGTTCCAGCCCGAGTACTCGCTCTCCCTCATGAGGGCGCCGAGCACCTTGACGTAGAGCCGGTTGAAGGAGGCGTATCGGTGCCGCAGCCAGTCGACCGTCGTAATGGGCACCAGCGCGCCCATGAGGTACGGCGGCACGGCGCTGGTCTGGGTGCCCGAGCTGTAGAGCCAGACGACGAAGAAGCCGATGGAGACGTGCAGCGCCTTGCGCGGGACCTCATGCTTGTGCACAAACGTCCGCCAGTGCCTGTGGATGGGGATGAGGCCCAGAGGACTGGGGCTGCGGCTGAAGTCGCGCCAGCTCCATCCCGTCGACGTGGGCTGGGGAGGCGCCAGATGGCCGTTGGTGTTGGTAGTGGCCAGCCGCGAGGCCATTGCCGTCGCCGTCGTCGTGGCCGTCGCCATGATGCCGTCCTGGTCTGTTTTGGGCGCTGCTGCCTTTGGCGTCTTGGCCGTGCGAGGCGCGCGCGTTTCGAGGGGCGAGCGGCTTCTCGTGCGGGATCTTCGGGGCCCGGAGGAGCTGCTCTCGTCGCTGACCTCGTCCACCGCCTGCTGCGCCGGGGCCTTTCTTCGACTCCGGGTCATGGGGCCCACGTACTCCTGCGCGTCTCGTTCTGACGGCGTCGGGCTGGGGGAGATGATGCGAGGCGTCTGCGGCACGCGGGCCGACTGGCGACGGAGCGACATGGTGAGGCTCGCTGGCGGGAGCGCAGGGCAGTTGACGGCGCCTACGACGAGCCGCCGTAGCGAGTCAAAGCCCGAGGGCCACAGAGGCTGGTGATGGTCTCGGCGCGAGAGGCGTGGCGCGGCGGAGCTGCTGCTGCTGCTGCTGCTTCGACTACCTCGGCTGGTGCTTCTGCTTCTGATGCTGCTGCTTCTGCTTCTGCTTCCGCTTCTGCCGGTGCCGCTGAAGCCGTGAGCTGGCGCGCTGAAGAGCTCAAATAGACGGAGGCCGCTGCTGTGCGATGACGAGGGGCTGCTGACAGGGGACAGATTGACGGGGCGACTTGGGACCTCCAGGATGAACGACGGTTTAGCAGCGAATGCGGTAGAGGCTAGACCCTCTGCCACATTACCAGCCTGTAGTAAGAGCAGAAGGGGAGAGAAAGGGCGGGAAAGGCCCGAGGGCACGAAACGGTGTTATATATGAGCTGTCGTTATCGGCGGGAAACAAGGCGGAATCAGTCCGTTTCGTCTGCGCAGCGGTCCGGAGTTTGTTGGCTTTCCGTATGTGCACTGAATGGGCTCATGTTCTGTCCATGGCGAAGTTTTTGCAAGCCCAGCCTCAGCAGAAGCCACAACACCCCGTAAAGTCACCCAGGCTGTGTCGTGTGCGTCTCTCCGGCTGTGGCTGCCCTAATTGGCTAGCAGTCCTGGGGGAGCTGGGCGACGGGCAAGAGGCTCGAATCACTTGTCAAAGGCGCGCATGTGACCCGCCAGTTCTGGTCATTTTACTACGGAGCGGTGCGACCGACGAGAGAAATTGTCCGCCCAGGCGAGGTTGGGACGTCATCGGGGCCTTTGTTGGGGCCGCGGATTCTTGTTGGACTTTCACATGCTGATTTGTCTCAGCGGTGCACGTGTGGTTTCTGGTGCAGAGCTGCTCAATGTAGGAAGTACGAGATGAAACTGTAAATTGTCCCTTGTGATGAGCTACTACGCCCCCCAAGAACAATTTAATGCTAGTTCAAATTGTGTCTTTCATTCTGCCTTTCTCTGGCAACATTTATTAGCTATTCTTATAAAACATTGTTTCAATCGGATCTTGTTGGATGCTTTTCGGATTCCTCGGCCCATGAGCCAATCGTGGGGCGCCTTGACCGACCAAAATGTCAAGTGGGTCTTCACGTGGAGATAAGATAAGCCATCAAAATAATTTCTGAGATAGCCTCAAGCATTGCGACGATGGGCCTGGCGCAGTGCGCGCTGGGAACCATTTTCGGCAGACTCAAGGCACAATGGCTCCCGGAAAGGTCGTCGCGAAGAAGGATCCCAGGGCGTGGGATGCTCTGACCCCCCCCTTGGCGCAATGGATCCTCGATGCCGTCTCCAGCATGGGATTCAAGCAGATGACGCCGGTGCAAGCGGCGACCATGCCGCAGTTTCTGGGGAACAAGGATGTGGTGGTCGAGGTGAGTCTGCTGCTGTTTCTTGTCCAAGATTGACAACCGTTCCTAATGTCAGCCATTTCAATGCATCATAGGCCGTCACTGGTAGTGGGAAAACACTCGCTTTTCTGATACCCATCGTCCAGAGGCTACTGCGCCTGGAGGAGCCCACCAAGAAACACCATGTTGGCGCAATCGTCATCTCGCCAACGCGAGAGCTCGCTGCTCAGATCCACACGGTTCTCCTCTCTCTCCTCGCATTCCACGCGCCCTCCGCCGAGATCCTACCACACCTGAAAGGCGAAGACAAGCGGCCTAGCAATGCTGTGCCCGCCGTCGTGCCCCAGCTGCTCGTCGGCGGAACCACCACGCCCGCGCAAGACCTCAGCTACTTTGTCCGACACAGCCCGAATCTCTTGATATCGTCTCCCGGCCGTCTTGTGGAATTGCTAGGCTCGCGCCACGTTCACATCGACCAGTCTTTCGACGTGCTCGTCCTCGACGAAGCCGACCGGCTGCTCGATCTCGGCTTCAAGCAAGATCTCCAAACCATCCTTTCACATCTTCCCAAGCAGCGGCGAACTGGCTTGTTTAGTGCGAGCGTTAGCGAAGCCGTCGGCGAGCTTATCAGAGTCGGCTTGCGCAATCCGGTCAAGATTGAGGTCAAGGTGAAAATGAAAGACGGTGGAGTGGTCGAGGATAGGAGGATTCCTGCCAGTTTACAGATGTCCTACCTTGTCACTCCGGCTAGCCACAAGCTGCCTGCCTTGGCGCAGCTCTTGGAGCGCCTGCCAGTGCGGCCTCAGAAAAGCATCGTGTTTCTGTCTACCTGCGCCGCCGTCGACTATTTCCAGCATACCTTGCCGCAAATCTTACCCCAAGGGTTCTCATTACTGCCCTTACACGGCAAGCATCCCGCTAAAGTGCGCGAGAAGAACTTTAACCGGTTCCTTACCTCAGTCTCCCCAACGGTGCTTTTGACGACAGATTTGGCAGCGCGTGGTTTGGATATTCCGCAAGTCGACTTGGTCGTTCAGATCGACGCCCCGTCAGATCCCAAGGTATTCATACATCGGAGTGGGCGAGCTGGTCGCGCCGGTAGAAAGGGATTGGCTGTGGTGATGCTTCATCCAGGGCATGAGGAAGACTACGTAAAGTTTCTCGAAATTCGCCAAACCCCCATTACGCCGCTCTTGAGACCTTCAATTTCCGTGACGGAGGACGAGGCTCGCAATGCGACATCAAGATTCAGGAAACTGCTTCAGTCTGATCGCGCAATCCACGACAAGGCACAAAAGGCCTTTGTCAGCTGGGTTCGCAGCTACGGGGCTCATCAGGCAACTTCAATATTCAGGGTTGCCGACCTGGACTGGGCGGATCTCGGGCACGCATGGGGGCTTCTTCGCCTGCCCAGGATGCCTGAGCTGAAAACATGGACCGGAGACAAGATGCTGGGAGTTGAAATGGACTGGGATACATTTGCCTACAAAGACCCGGCACGAGAGAAGGCGAGACTGGAGGCCATGGAGGCTGATAGATCGGGAGAGACGGAAAAGAAGGCAGCCGAGGCGAAGCGGAAGAGGAAGAACAACGAGGCATGGAGCGGAAAGCACGAACAGGAGGAACACCGCGTTGAGAGGAGAGAGAAGCGGCACAAGAAGAAGGAGGCTGAGATGACGGCCAAGATGACAGACGAGGAGAAGGCCAAGCAGGCCGAGCTGAAGGAGCTGATCCGGAAGGTTAGAGAGCAGAATTTGGCAAAGGCCGCGGCAGAGGAGGAAGAGTTTGACGGCTTTGATTGAGGAGAGTTGGATATAATGGTTGCTCAATAGCGATATAATACCTCAACATACATCCTGGTACAAGATACCTCCTGCGGTTACAAATGACATGCTTTCCTACGATCGAGCCAGATTGAGTGATGATATGTCGAATCTGACAGCAGATCCCAGCAAGGGCCGAATTAGCAATACGCGTATTCACCAGAGCTAGTTCCTGCCAGCAACTGTAACTGCCACTAGGACAATCAACGACCCACGTGTGAGCTCTCAATGGAAGTGCGTAATGCTTCGTACTTTCCGCGGAAACAACCCCTCCCAAGTACCTGTGGCTGAGCAGCTGGCTGTTCCTGTATTTCAACAAGGGCTCCCCTCTGCTATATCATCGAACCTCGATAGGAAGTATTCGCCCTTCTCAGTGCGATGCGTACTTATGCCCTCTTTTGCACAGACCATCGATCCGGGACGATGCTACAGCGTATAGCCCACCCGTCGATGACGTGTTACGAAACAGCACGACGTGACATGTGCGGCTTCTATCGACGCAAGCTCAACCTCTCCTGCCAATGGCCCAATGCTACGAATCATGGAGCTCTGGCCCTGCCATCCGCTGCCTGAGCAATGATTCGCATCGAAGACTATGCACCGCTGTCGTGCGCTGGGCTGTTGCACCACAGGAAGCGTCTGATGAAGCCCTCAGACAAGTTGTTTCGCAGCATCGTCGGTAGCCCATCATCCACCAAATGCCCACCTCATGCGGTCTGGCCTGCTTCTGATGTCTCGGATGCTTTTGGCCAATCACGAGGCCGTGCCGTTTCCTATCTGGTTTGTACCTCATACATTCAGCCCTCTTTCTTTATATGTGGTGCCACTTCGATTCCCGGCTGCTTGGCGCTGTCAAACCAGACGACTGAATGCTTGCAGCTGGCAGATGCTGTTACTGAGACAGACAGACAGACTGAGCGTGACATGAGTGGACTGAATCCACATCACTGTCCAACGAGGTACAGACAATTCGCACGATGCGAAATCCAGCAGCCTCATGCTGTATCCTTCTTTCAGACGTTCTCGAAGTCCGCTGCTTCCATGCTGGACATGTACCGGTATCATGTACCTACCTCCGCGGAGCCTCATCAGCCACACGGGCTGTAAGCACGACACCCAACCCGCCTCGTATTCGGACTTTTGTGCCTTTCGGCTCCGCTCCCGAGGCTTTGTGGCGGAGCACCTGCCTGAGCGGCAGCTACGGCAGCCACGGCAGCCACGGCCTGACATTAAGCAGACCTTCAACTGGAAGCCACGGCTTTTAAATGCTGGCCGGAAAGTACTTGTCTGTACCTGCCATTGACGGCAATCCGACCTATCACAGCTGTTAGTCAACTGGCTGCCTTCCACCTTCTCGGGTCCTCTGTGCTTCAGCTTGGGCTCTCCAGAAACACCAACGCCCAGAGAATCCGGGGCTTTGGGGTTCGGTCGTTTTGCAGCTTCTTCTTCTTCCTCTTCTTCTCCTCCTTTTATCCCGGCTCTTCCGACTCCTGCCTTCTCCATCTCTTCTTCTTCTTCTTCGTCGTGTCGCCCGCCATAGAGGCGATCATGACCATGCACCACCAGCTTAACGGGAGCTCCGGTACAAACGGCGTCGTCAAGACACGACGCTCCCACCGCAAATCCCGGAACGGCTGCAGTGAGTGCAAGCGACGACACATACGATGCGACGAGCGCCGTCCGGCCTGCACCAACTGCACCATTGCAGAGCGCGCATGCTCTTTTCCTCCGGCTCGCCAGCAGAACCAACTCGAGC